ACACTTAAAATGTACTTATTATCACTTAAAATGTACATATTAACATAAAATGTACATATTAGCACCTAAATTTTACATATAACTTAAAATGTACATTTAGCACCTAAAATGTACTATTAGCACCTAAAATGTACACATTAAACACCTAAAATTTACATATTAGCACCTAAACTTTACATATTACTTAAAATGTACATATTAGCACCTAAAATGGACAAAAAGTTTACCTTTTGAAATGTACAGCCCAGTGACAGCTTTTTCTTTTTTTCTGAGAGTGTGTGTCTGTCAATGTGTTGCCTTGATTGATAATTCAGTTTACCTGTTGTCCAATTATTTTTCTCATTAGTTCTTCTGTGTATTTAGTGTTCGATCAGTCCTGGTTCAGTGTTGTCTATGGTACGTGGTTTGCTATTTCTCTTTCATTAGACTGTAGTTTCCTAAATATTTGTGTTTTAAAAAACTGTTATTTGAGCTATCTCCTTCGGCTTCATTTTGCAATGTTAATAGCACCCACACGTGACACCAGACACGAGTGGCACTTTTAGTTTGTACCATGCTTCACATTGCACTAGTAAAGTGTCACATTTCAGTAACATGGAGCCCACAATACTTAATATAATTCATCAATAGTGTGTATTAACCTGTTTGGTTTGGTTGATTCTTTATGTGTATGTAGCTTAAATGTGTTTGTAATATTCCTTTTGCTTTAAAGAAACACAAACATACACTTCTTTGTCAATAATTAAATCCAGTAAAAAAAAATACAGTGTTGTGTACAATCACTAATGCTCTCTAAACCTTAACAAGTTAGTTCAATACACTGTAATGTCTTAAAATGGCAATAGGGTTGAAATTGGTGAGGAGTGAAGACTGTGATTCAGGTCAGAGAGAAATGGTATTTATTAGACAAAACTGTATGTTTGTTTTTTTTTAATTCATATTTTTGTAAACAATACCAATTAAATTGATCCAAAATTGAAATGTTAAAAAAAAATCTATTTCAAATAAACCCTGAAAAACTGTAGTAAAATAATTGCTGTAAAAAACAATCAAGCATTCCATGACAGGAAAATTTTTTTTTCTTTTTGTGTTTGTAATCTAATAAATGCAGCCTTACTGATACCAGAATAATGTTCTCCTGCAAAGCAATTAAAAAATATTTTGAAATTGTCACCACAATTGTGACTTGATATGTACTGCAAAACATTATCTACACAGTATGCTTCGGATTTGATAGGATTTGTAATGAATCTTGACAGATTGATTTGCCTGTACTGGAATGAGAATGTTGTTTATCCATACCTGTCTTATCATACACTGCAGTAGTCCTCGCATGAGTTTGACCACACTCTGCAGAATGAGAAAAGACAGAGAACAAGCGAGAGAGAAAGAGAGCAGTGAGCCTTGACCGTGACCTTATCCTCTCCATCTGCTATGACCATGAAAGAAACATGAGCCAAATGATTTGCCCTCTGGCATTTTACATGATCTCCCAGACACAAACACTAATGAGCAGAAAATCTTAAATGGCTGGGACATGTGCAGACATGGTCTTCGATGCCCTTTGACAAAATTGTATAGTTTTGCTTGTATCTCAACTCACTATGTATGCATGAACCAACCTGCTCCAGTTCATAGGCTTTGGCTTTGTCTTCATCCATGTCTGCATTCTTCCTGTAGGCCAGACTCAGAGCCCACACAGACAGGATGCAGTACACATTGTCTCTAACCCAGGCATGAGGTAACGTCTCATCTCCTGGGAGTAACCCTGTCACCGGATCCTGCAAAATATTATTTAAAAAAACATATATGGTATCCTGAGGGTCTATCAAACTAAAATGAATTATATTTATGTTGTGTAAAGTGTCATTTAAAAGCATGACACTTTAAATTCTACATCTGTGTTCTCTTTCGTAATGAGTATTTTTACTTTAGCACAATCCTGTTGCCTTACAAGTGTTATGATTCGTTACAATAACCCAAATTCAAACTCTAAACTCTTGTGTGAAAAAAAAGTGTGCTTAATAGAATTATTGAATGTACACTATTAGTGCATACTTTACATCTTAAAAGTATATTTTAAAAAAACTGTACTTGCATGAAATATAATACTACTGAAATAAAAGTTGACGGCTACTTAAAAAGTGCACTTTCATGCCAATGTTTTAAACACACTTAAGTACACTTTAAAAAGCACACTTTGGGTAACAATTCAGTTTAGGGTCCAATTATCTCTATTATAGTTGCTTAGTAGAATGCATATGATATTGACTGTTTCTTAGTACTTATAAAGCACATATTAATGCCTTATTCTGCATGACCTTACACATTCCTTATACCTTATACATCGCTTAACGGTAAACTTAACAACTACCTTACTAACTAAGTATATTTGAGGCAAGAGAAGTAGTTAATAGTTAGTTAATAGTGACAATAAAGTGTAACTGCAATGACAAAGTGCAAAGTGTAAGTGCATAGTCGTATTACTAAGAACAAGGTTACACCTTAAAATAAAGTGTAACCTAAAATTGTAATTTCATTACAAATGTATTTAAATACATTAAGTTTAAGTTTCAATAGAAATTACATTAAATGATATTTTAGTGGTAACACTTTAAAATAAGATTTCATTTGATGGCATAGGTGACTACATTAGTTAAGATTAGAACTAATGAACAATCTACAGCAGTTATTACGGTAATTTTAAAGTTAATCTCGACATTTATAACATAACACTCAGTTTTCACCTAAGGATCACAAAGTATTCTAAAGTGTAGCCTACTTTTTCAAAATAGCCTTTTTAATTGATATTAACACACATTATAGTGAAAGTGAGAGATTTTTTGCTCACCTGGTGACAGAGGATTGTCTGTTGCAACGTTCTGGCATAATTGTCGAGTTTCACTCCAGAATTACTGCGACTTCTCATAATAGTTCCTTTCTATCTCCAGTTTAGATGCAGTTTAGCTCTCACTAGCAGTGTGTCTTAGCTGGCGGTGGTCAAATATCAAGTAGCCTACCGTAAATGTGAGGTAGGTAAATGTCAAGTTGTTCAGTATCTGTTACATTAGATGGCGTAACTAGTGTTGAACATGCACCCTATCTTTATGGTTACAGGCAGAGTTTTTTCATCCATATTTAACATATAATAAAATCATTATTAAAAAATGAAAACATTTTAAAAATAAGGCTAGTATACAACACACTAAGCAAAATGTAGCTTCAACTGAAGAATATGTAAGCTTCTGTTGTTGTTTACAAAATTATTCAAGCAATTCAGTCATGCTCATTCGTTCATGCCAATATTGATTTTATACAACAGTTCAACAAAGAACAAGTTAATAGTGAGAAACTTTTTTAGACCCAAAACTATAAATAAATGCTGTCTTAAATTAAGGATCAACTTGGATGTTTAAGTCATTTCTTCTTAAATTACACTAAACAGACTTTAAAAAGAATTTGCGAGTCTTGTATAACATTAAAAAATATATTTTGATGTGTTAAAGGAGCAGTTCACTTTAAAAAAAAATAAAAAAAAACTTTGCTGATAATTTACTCACCCCCATGTCAAAGATATCCATAAAGAAATGACATGGATATCTTGGATGACATGGGGGTGAGTAAATTATCAGCAAAAGTTTTCTTAAAAGTGAACCCCCTTAAAGCAATGTAAAACATACATTTTTTTAACAGTGAATATTGTCACTTTCACATTTGTTTATTGTTGCTCCAGCAAAGAAAATAGGTCCAAATGAAGTCAATCATCGTAATCAACCGGTTTTATCAGAGCAACACACAACAGTTGTGTTTTGTTCCATAATGCATAATGAACGGGTTTAATCAAACGTTGATTCAATGATTCACTCACTACAGACACAGTCACTTGTGGCCATCTACTGGCGATTTAACACAGAAAAGAGCACAAAAAAATCATTATGCTGATGCACTGCTGTTGACCAGTGTTTGTAAATTTGCATATAAAATATAAAAATATCAATAAAATCTATAAATAAATTTGATTAAGTTTGATTTTAAAGACGTTTTTGTTTGTTGTAAAAAGTTTTTTTGTACGATACTTGCTTCAAAAATATGCATAGCCTACTCTAAATTGAGTATATCACAATTACATAGCCTAAGTAAAGAGTAAACTAAAGGTTGCAGAAACAGAGGTATTTTTAGTGTTTTATTTGACAAACATAAACTTTGCTCTTTCATGTCAGAGAAGGACATGCAATCTTGGTACATGTGGAGGTCGTTCACAGTACAATGACATCAGTTTGTTACAGTACATTCTTGTGCAAATACTCCTCTCACTAACTTTAGGGGCCTTTGTCATTAGATGGATTCAGACGACTCAGACCATCCTGAGAAAGATGTGTGCAACTGTGCACGTTCTCTTACCGGCACTGTGCCTATAGGGTCGATACTACACAGGCCTTCTCATAGCTTATCAAATACAGTACTTTATCAAATATCGCATGAATACAATTATTTATACACATATAGCTCTTAAAATGGTCTTCAAATTACTCATGCTCAGCTCTAGTTTTTTAATTAAAATGCTTACAGTATTGTATTGTAAAAAAAAAGTTTGGGCCAAGTCAAATATGTTAATGACCACTAAATAAGGTTATTAAATGCTTAGAACATAAAACATCTAAAGTGAAACCAATGTAACTTTTCAAGTCAGACTTCTCCGCACGCTCTTAACAGTAAGTATTTGTGCTACATAGACCACAGTTCAAAAATTAAAGTGCTTGCAACATACACACAAAATATGGCCATAAAATAGTATGTCGGTTGACTCATACATGAATATGTTTCAGTCTTCCACTCCGCTATGAATGAACAGGCTCATTAAAAGAACAATGACCATTCCTGGGGGTAGAAAATATAATCAGTTTTAGTAAAGGGCAGTTTTTAGTACATGATAAAAGGGGATGGATCATGGCAGCAGTGACATACCTGCATAATCCAGTAGTGCACTCTATGCTGTCATGGCAGTACGCTCCGTATGGTTTGAACCCCATAATTCGCCACAAAGGGGACATTCGTATCTTGCGGTGCAGGATATGTGATGACTGAAGATCTGATCGCACCTCAGAAGTCACTAATGGCGCAGAGGATACCTAACATACATGTCACAGTCAGTATGCATTCACACAATAATAACTTCATTTAACTTTTTATTATTTAATAACTTAGTAAATTATAGGGTAACATTTTACAACAAGGCCTCATTTGGTAACATTATACCAAAAAATAATATATTATTACAACATGTGCTTTACAATTGCTTTAACTCATCAAAATACTTTTTTATAAGACAAGATTCAACTCATTTTTATAAGTCAGCTTAATGTAATTTAAGTTGCAATGACTTAAATATTCAAGATTGTACTTAAAAATTAAGGCAGCAACTTTTTACAGTAAGAACTAATAATGAGCGATATTGTACAGTATTTATTAATCTGTGTTAATTGAAATAGTATTGTTCATTGATCATGTTATTTCACAGTACATTAACTAATGTTAACATTTTTAATGTCAAACTCATTTCAATGCAGTAATTTCGATGAAAGTGAAAAATGTTTTTTTTTAACAAAAAACATTTGCCTGCCAACCTGCATGTCCTCGCTGTCTTTGAAAAAAAGTTGTTGAAAAGAGGTGTAAACGTACCTGATACATCAGCACGAGCAAGATCAGTGCGCAAAATCCACATTTTGCCAGGTGAAAGTGATGCAGATTCATTCTGGTGATGTTTTTCCCTTAACTACTATAATGTCAGTGTGTCCAGGAGATTAGCTTAAACTTTGCTGTGGCCATGTGTATTTATAACCGTGCAACATTGACCACCCCACCCTCTCTGTCAGTCCATCTCTTCTGCTCTCTTACTCTGTAAGGCCATGCATGGCCAAGATAAAATCACGTGTTTAGTAAATATTTGAGTTTACATAACCTTAATGCACACATAAGCATTTGGGATTGGTGGGAGTAAAGAAAAAAGACTCAGAAGTTCTGACCTAAATGTTTTTTGAGATTTTAGCATGCTTTTTTACTTGCTAAATTAGATTGTTTTAATAAGCTGTATCCCACAAATTACGATTGCATGCGCCAGATCTCAAATTGAGATTTTTGCATAGGAACTTATTTGATAATGGAGAATACACAAAGGTTTCTTATCTCTTTTTTTACCTTTAACATAATTTTCAAGAGGCAAGTATGTTCCCATCCATCTCTCTGAATCAATAGGTCATCATGTTCACTCAGATAACATGTTCATACTAAGAATCTTGCATGCCGTTGCATCAGTCATTTTGATTTAAAAATAGGCCTAATTAATTTAATAGACCTAATTAATGTATGAATATGAAACATTGCACAGGCAGAATAATTCAGCCGAAATGAAAAGGTTGCAATGGTTGTCTATTTATAGCTTTGTCTTGTAATTAATTATTATGCATGCATTTTTTTATGCATTTCATTTGTCACACAGGACCGTTTAAAATGTAGCAAAATGATCAATAACAGGAGCTAAAAGAATAATTCTCTTAAAAATTCAAGTAAACTTTAAATTCTCTAAATTAAATAATCTAAATTGATTAAATTATAACAAAAAATAGTAAATAGTCTATTAATAGCCAACAACAGCATGATGCTGAATGACCTGCAGTGCTTAACTTAATACTCTGCTGAGCGGTGAAAGTTCAGATTGTGCTCCAAATGACAGAACAGTATATTCAGCCAGTCCGTGTATTTAATCAGCACAGACTGGAAAGTTCAAATATATATATATATATATATATATTAGGGCTGTGAAACGATTAGTCTGATTGATCGCATCCAAAATAAAAGTTTGTGTTTACATAAGATATGCTTGTGTAGTGTCTATAATTATTTTGTATATATAAATTCACACATATGCATGTATATATTTAAGAAATATTTGCATGTATATACTTTATATATATTTATACAAAATTTATATTTTACATTTCATACATGTTTCATGCATTTTTCTTAAATATATACACAATATATATACAAAATTATTATACACACTACACATACATGTATTATGTAAACACAAACTTTCATTTTGGATGCGATTAATCACAGCCTTAATATATATATATATATATATATATTTTTTTTTTTATTTATTTATTTATTTTTTATATATATATATATATATATACATGTTTTGAAAATCTGTGGCCTATTACTTATTTGTGAAGTACATAAATTCATGTTTTTATAGAGAAAGGTATTGATGTCGTTTAAAGAAATAAAACAAAGTCCATGTGGTCCATTACAACACCAAATCAGTAACACATGATCAAGAGGTCGCCTCATTTGTCTGCGCTGTCTCACCTATAGATGGCAACATTGAGCCACTCATTGATTGCCTGTGTGTGTTTGTGTGTGTGTGTGTGTGTGTGCGTGTGTGTGTGTGTGTGTGTGTGTGTGTGTGTGTGTGTGTGTGTGTGTGTGTGTGTGTGTGTAATACCCGGTAATACCGAATGTAATGACAAGAATTTTATGGTAAGCTAGAATATAGGCTACTTAAAAGTTATTTCTATTGGCATTTGCATGTAGTACATTTGAATATATTTGTAATTATTTATAATGATTAAGTATAGGCTAACCAATTAGTATTTATATAAAAGAAATGACATTGATGAAATATTAACTTTAAATGTAATATCCAACAACACTGCAGTTAAAATTATAATCAAGAACGTGCTTTAGGCCTATGTTAATCAACACATTAAAATAAACAATGAAAATTAACTTTAAAATACAACATTTAATTTTACAAAGTTCACCTTTAGAAGTGTACCTATGTGTTAAGAAACAGTCATTTAAGTGTTTTAGGTACATTTGAGAGGACTTTTAAATTTAATTTATATTATCTTCAAGTGCGCATTCAATACAACTAAGGCAAAAAAATAAAATCAAACCTTTACACAAGGCATTAAATAGCCTAAACATTACATTTAATTACAAAATATATAAACTTACGAAAATAAATAAGAAATAATCAATACATTAAAATGGTCACAAGGTTGCAGGTAACAGGTTTTATATATATAGTTTTTTTTTTTTTTTTTTTTTTTTGTCTGAGGTAGACAAAAACTGCTGATAGATTTTGCACAGTAGTGACAGAGGCCAAATTTCAGAGACATTCTTAATCGAATGCTGAAATCTACACATCTTGTGAATCGGCACTCGGCTGTAAATGCCTTAATTTGTACGTCATTGGCATCGGCGCTTGAGATAGCAAACAAGGTAATTGTTTGTTTGTTTCTTTTGCTGTCTATGCTTTAACCAAAGTACAGGCAATATACGGCATGTTAACATTATAAATATATTCGGAAATAGTTCAACTTGATGCCATTAAGCCACGTCACGCCACGGTATTAAGCAAGAAATCCTTTTAGCTATCCTGCTAACCAGCCGTATGAGTATTTTTGTACATTTGTCATTGTTCCCCATTGCTGAGATCTTAAATCAGATTTGGAAGACTGTTACGTGCGCTTTTTCTACTCTATTTTCATCTACCATTTATCATATTACCACCATATTACTCCTTTTGCAGGCTAGTTGGCTAAGCTAAAATGACCCATATTTGAAGTTTGCTGATTGATTTCCTTAGCTTTCGTTTACTACCTCAGATAGTAACTTAAACCTTTAATCAAACTTAGGCTGCTACTTCTATAGGATAAATGTATATATGCTGGAAATAAGTCTTTGCTTTTAATTTTAAAGGCAGAAGTTACCTAAAAACAAGATTAAGTGTGAAAAAATATTATATATTTGCGAACAGTTTAGTCTTTTATTCAACTTTATCTCTGTTTTTTTGTAGTAATGTACCATTGGCTGCCTGTAATTGTAAACTTTTAAATCCAATTAAAAATTTGAAAATTAAAAAGGATGTTAAAGAGAGTCATAGTTGTGATTTGAAATACATTTTCTGCATAGGTTTGAATAAATACATTCTTCTTATTAAATTCTTTATTATGACTATTGTAAATTCTATATTCAGAGTACATAGTCCAGAGAATCATAATAAATGGAATTAAAAAGTCATGATGTAAATATGCAGTTAGTATTCAATCTTGAAGTGACGGGTAAACATTAATAGTAGGGCGTGACCTGTCAAGCTTTAACTTAAACAGAGTCTCTTGTGCTCAGGTCAAAGGACATTTCTATGTCCTCCAAAGTCCGGAGGAACGATGGACAACACTGGCTATTGCAGTGAGAGCTTCAACAGCCTGCAGAGCGGAACCAGCGATGAGGACATGGTGGAAATAGCAGGAGCCACGCTGGACTTTTCCAGCACAGATGACGTACCTCCTCTAGAACGGGACTATAGCTCAGGTGAGTGACAGACCTACCCAAACTCATGTGTTGCATTTATAGACAAAGAGGATTGAAAATGGCCCGAGTGACAATGGTGATGTGGAGAGGTGACAATATATGTCTTATTATTTCTCCAATGTAGCTACCACCCAGTTTTATCCTTATTCATTTTCGTTCCTTTCTTCATTTTTATTGTCATTCATGAGATTCCCATAGCTTTTTCCCTTTCTGTCATCATTTGATATAGGTTTTGGGGGCAAATGTGTAATGAATAGGTCTCTGGTGTTTGAGTCTGTGAGAAAATAGTGGTGAGAATTCGCTGAGGTCACAACTTTGGTATTTGCCTCCCCCCCTCAGAAATCCTTTTATCGAAGAGATCAAAGTGTCCCCTCGAGTTTTTTTTTTCTCTTGTAGCTAGCTAGTTTCATATTTTTACCGGTGTCAGGTTTTTACATCCATTTATTTCCCTTGAACTTCCTCTGCTTTTGATATTAGTTGCTTTGTCGTGTCTGCTGTGTGATTTGCTACTTCCACACATTTTATGGTTTATTTTTTCTCAAACACTAACATTTTGTGATTATTTTTTCATAAACAAAAAGACTTTTATGTTGTACTCTTTGTGTCCTTATGGCGTAGTAATTAATATAAAATGAAGTTTTGTTTTCTAGAAGGTAGATAATTATTAACCATAGCTAGTTTTATTGCTGTGTTTTTTGTTGAGTAAGTTTTTTTTCCTGTTCTTGGTACTTGTAAAATCATTCTTATGAAAGTCATGTGAAGAACTGTGAACACTGGAACAGTAACATGCACCACCACCTATGCCTTACACTGCATAATAATATGAATAATATGTAAATGGTAATGCAATCTGCTCATAGATAATACTGCATTAAAATGTAATATAATATTTAAAAATATTTACTAGTGATGTATATTTAATAAATTATTAAAATATACATAGACAATGAAGTGACTGGAGCCATTGTACACAACCATTCAAAAGTTTGGGGTCAGAATTTTTTTAAATACTTTTATTTAGCAGGCATGCAATACATTGTTCAAAAGTGTCAGTAAAGACATTTGTAATGCTACATACAATTTCTATTTTGAATAAATGCTGTTGTTTTGAACTTTCTATTCATAAAAGAATCCTGAAAAAAATTATCACAGTTTTCACAGAAATATTAAGCAGCAAAACCATTTTCAATAATAAGAAATGTTTCTTGAGCATTAATTCAGCATATTATGATTATGTATTAAGACTGGAGTAATGGTGCTGAAAATTCAGCTTTGATATATTTTAAAATGTATTAAAATATAAAACTGTTTTAAATTGTCACACTATTTCACAATATTATTGCTGTTTTTACTTGTTTTGTTTTTTTATCAAATAAATGCAGCCTTGGATACAAATGATATATTTAAATCTGCATATAATATTGTAATATCTGCAGGGCACCCCTAGTCTAGTCTTATTAAATGTATGCTTCATTTTTCATTTCTAATTTCTAAATTAGATCAATAAATTCAATTATTTAGAATAATAAGACGCTCAAATAAATTAAATCACACTGAAAAATAATCGTTGTAAAGAATGATACTGATAACCATAACACTAAACCGCCATTAGGTGTCGGCAGGCGACCGTCTTAATGAGCGAGTTATTGATTCGTTCGTTGAAACAATTCGTTCAAACGACTGAGTCATTTGATGTTTTTATGGATTGAATATTTGAATCTTTGAGTTGACCGATTAGTTCAAAATGTTGAATCACTCAGTAACGAGAAAACGCGTTGCTGTTCTGAAACAAAACAAAAACAGTCAATATTGCCTCTAAACTGTAAGTGACTTAAAGTTAATTGCAACTGTTTATTGAACTGTTGTTTGAAATCAATGTCCCAGTTTCAATCGTGATGGTATTCAGGAAACAGCCCTCATGTGAGGTGAGGTTTGCTAACTGTAATGTTAGCCTATCGTGGTTCTAACCATTTGAATGGTTCTTTTACATTTTTCGAGTTTTACATTAATATTGCCCGTCGTGCACAGTTATCCTAAAGGCACCTAAGGTGGCGGTGCCACTGGCTTGGGCCCGTCATTGCTCCGCACAGCTATTATATCTTTCTTTTTTTTCATCTGTGCAGGTGGTTCATATGGAGCTGGGCCAAATGGGGTTCCTAAACTGATGGATTTACTAGATGAGCCAGTGCCGGGGGTCGGCACATATGAAGATTTCAACACCATCGATTGGGTCCGAGAGAAATCTAAGGACCGAGATCGCCACAGAGAGGTGACAATACTCAGTTTAATCTTTCTGGCTTTTTAAACATCATCTTTAATGCCCGGAAAGAAATGAATCGTGCATGTTGTGTATCCCAACCAATTAAAAACACTTGAGCTGTAGTATTAGCTTGTCACACCATGTTCATTCATTTGGCCAGAGTAGAACTGCCCAGCCCGAGTCTGGTTTCTCCCACAGTTTTTTTTTTTCTGCATTTCCATCACCTGAAAGAGTTCATTGCCACAGTCACCTTTGGTTTACTTAAGCCCTATTCAGATGAAACTAGTTTTCTAAACAAAGTTTGAGTTACAATTCTTATCACTCGACCTCTGTGATGTCATGTACCGATTCAGACGGGACTAAGATCTCTATGTTTATTACAGAGTGTGTTTTCTAAACGTGGCCGTAATAGAAGCTCATGTGCTGTGCGTGTCACGTATGTGACTTTTAATTTATTATTTGTTGTTATGATTTTAATTTATTAAAAAAAAAACATTAAGGTAAACTTCACAAGTTTATAGCAGTGGGTATTTATAAGAAATAAGTGAGCAGAGGAATCTGGACAAGTGTCTTTCTTACCCGACAGTGATATTTATATCTTCGCTGTGATATTAATCTTCGATATCTAAGAAAAACACAGTTGTATCGGCTATTGAGTGTGTTTTTGTATCGGTTATATATGTGTATAACAGTTATTGACTTAAACTGAGTTTGTCTCATAATTAAAGTTTGCATCAATGATTGTTATTTGCTTCTATGAAACAATCTGTATTATGTAAAGCGCTATGTAAATAAAGGTGACTTGACTGTCTGTGGTCTTCAATTTCTCTTCATGGTAGATTGCTACCAAGAGTAAAGAGTCAACCTGGGCTTTGCTGAAAAGCATCAGTGACGCCTTCTCCGGCTGGCTTCTCATGCTGCTCGTGGGACTGATGTCAGGTTGGTTTGTCTCTATAATATTAAAGCAGAAGTATCATGAGGAGTGATTATAGAGCACCAATCACACATCGCAAACACCTGGCCTTACCGTGATGTTTTAAAGCATGTGCTGTTCTATTTGATTCCAGGTGCCCTGGCTGCTGGGATCGACATCTCTGCCCACTGGATGACCGATCTGAAGGAGGGAGTGTGTCTGAACGGCTTCTGGTTTAATCATGAGCACTGCTGCTGGAACTCCAATGAGACGACCTTCCAGGAGAGAGATAATTGCCCTCAGTGGAAAAGCTGGGCAGAGCTCATCGTCGGCTCCAATGACGGCCCTTTCGCCTACATCATGAATTACCTGATGTATGTGTGCTGGGCGCTGCTTTTCTCCTTCCTGGCTGTGTCTTTAGTCAGGGCCTTCGCCCCGTATGCCTGTGGCTCTGGAATACCTGAGGTATGCTAAAGGATTTTAGTGCCTGTATAATACAAACCCAATTTCATAAAAGTTGGGACACTGTACAAATTGTGAATAAAAACAGAATGCAATAATGTGGAAGTTTCAAATGTCAATATTATATTTAGAATACAACATAGATGACATATCAAATGTTTAAACTAAGAAAATGCATAATTTTAAGGGAAAAATAAGTTGATTTTAAATTTCATGGCATCAACACATCTCAAAAAAGTTGGGACAAGGCCATTTTTACCACTGTGTGGCATCCCCTCTTCTTTTAATAACAGTCTGCAAACGTCTGGGGACTGAGGAGACAAGTTGCTCAAGTTTAGGAATAGGAATGTTGTCCCATTCTTGTCTAATAAAGGCTTCTAGCTGCTCAACTGTCTTAGGTCTTCTTTGTTGCATCTTCCTCTTTATGATGCGCCAAATGTTTTCTATGGGTGAAAGATCTGGACTGCAGGCTGGCCATTTCAGTACCCGGATCCTTCTTCTACGCAGCCATGATGTTGTAATTGATGCAGTATGTGGTTTGCCATTGTCTTGTTGGAAAATACAAGGTCTTCCCTGAAAGAGACAATGTCTGGATGGGAGCATATGTTGTTCTAGAACTTGGATATACCTTTCAGCATTGATGGTGCCTTTCCAGATGTGTAAGCTGCCCATGCCACACGCACTCATGCAACCCCATACCATCAGAGATGCAGGCTTCTGAACTGAGCGCTGATAACAACTTGGGTTGTCCTTGTCCTCTTTAGTCCGGATGACATGGCGTCCCAGTTTTCCAAAAAGAACTTCAAATTTTGATTCGTCTGACCACAGAACAGTTTTCCACTTTGCTAGAGTCCACTTTAAATGAGCCTTGGCCCAGAGAAACGCCTGCGCTTCTGGTCCCGTTTAGATATGGCTTCTTTTTTGACCTATAGAGCTTTAGCCGGCAACGGTGAATGGCACGGTGGATTGTGTTCACTGACAATGTTTTCTGGAAGTATTCTTGAGCCCATGTTGTGATTTCCATTACAGTAGCATTCCTGTGTGTGATGCAGTGCCATCTAAGGGCCCAAGATCACGGGCATTCAGTATGGTTTTCCGGCCTTGACCCTTATGCACAGAGATTGTTCCAGATTCTCTGAATCTTTGGATGATATTATGCACTGTTGATGATGATAACTTCAAACTCTTTGCAATTTTTCTCTGAGAAACTCCTTTCTGATATTGCTCCACTATTTTTGCCTCAGCATTGGGGGAATTGGTGATCCTCTGCCCATCTTGACTTCTGAGAGACACTGCCACTCTGAGAGGCTCTTTTTATACCCAATCATGTTGCCAATTGACCTAATAAGTTGCAAATTGGTCCTCCAGCTGTTCCTTATATGTACATTTAACTTTTCTGGCCTCTTATTGCTACCTGTCCCAACTTTTTTGGAATTTGTAGCTCTCATGAAATCCAAAAGGAGCCAATATTTGGCATGGCAATTCAAAATGTCTCACTTTCAACATTTGATATGTCATCTATGTTGTATTCTAAATATAATATTGAAATTTGAAACTTCCACATCATTGCATTCTGTTTTTATTCACAATTTGTGCAGTGTCCCAACTTTTATGGAATTGGGTTTGTATTTTATCTTGCAGGTTGTTGCATTAATATATAATAAAGTATAAACCACTGTTCAAATGTCACAGTTTTTGTTTGACCCTCTAGATCAAGACCATCTTGAGTGGGTTTATCATCAGGGGCTACCTGGGTAAATGGACTCTTATGATTAAAACCATCACCCTCGTGCTGGCTGTGTCATCTGGACTCAGTCTGGGCAAAGAAGGGCCTCTAGTGCATGTGGCCTGTTGCTGTGGAAACATCCTGTGCCACCTCTTCACCAAGTACCGCAAGAATGAGGCAAAGAGGCGAGAGGTATGATGAGTAAATGTGATTGATCTCTTTATACATATTATAAACCCCTCTTTTATTAAAATAAGCCACTGATTATAGTTTATAAAGTTATAAATATGAATATTTTTGTTTTAAAAAAACACATCACTTCTCTTCATAAGGCCTTTATTAACCCCCTGGAGCCGTATGGATTACTTTTATGATGGATGGATGCGCTTTTTTGGGCTTCAAAAACACAGGCTCTATATTTACTGCCATTATAAAGCTTGGACGAGCCAGGATATTTTTAATATAACACTGATTGTGTTTGTCTGAAAGAAGAAAGTCATATACACCTAGAATGGCTTGAGGGTGAGTAAATGATGGGATAATTTTTATCCCTTCAAAGAGATACTCCACTTTTTTTGAAAATAGGCTCATCTTACCACTCCCCCAGAGTTAAACAGTTGGGTTTTACCGTTTTCGAATCCATTCAGCTGATTTTCAGATATTTAGCAGAATATCAGTAACCAAACAGTTTCTGGTCTCATTAACTTGACTTCCATAGTATATTTTTTCCTACTATGGAAGTCAATGAGACCAGAAACGGTCTGGTTATTGATATTCTTCTAAATATCTGAAAATCGGCTGAATGGATTGGAAAACGGTAAAACCCAACTGTTTAACTCTGGGGGAGTGGTAAAATGAGCCTATTTCCAAAAAAAGTGGAGTATCCCTTTAAGAAACACACTTGTCTGTCATATCCAATATAATTTGAACTTACTTTCCTTATTCCTGTGTGACTATTGACTACGATCCTTGTTTGTAAGGAGCAAAGCACTAACTTCTATCTCCCATCTGTCACTCCCTATAAATACAGTGCCTCTAAGGGGCATTTGTTGTTACATTTTTGCGGCTTGCCGCTAAGGACGTTGTAGTTGCCTGTTTTTGTGGTTTTCTGTTTTAAACATCACTCGTTGTGAGAATGTTTTTATCGACATCACGAAGATGAGACCAAACATGAGATCATGTTTTATTTTGACATCTGAGGCCTTTGTTGATCCAAGCCTTTTCAGTGATAAGCTTGGTCTTCTCTGTGTGTGTGTGTGTGTGTTGATTAGGTATTGTCCGCCGCAGCAGCCGTTGGGGTTTCGGTAGCTTTCGGCGCTCCGATCGGTGGCGTTCTCTTCAGTCTGGAAGAGGCGAGCATGCTCCTAACAAACTTCTGTTGGCATACTCTCAGCATTATCTAGTGTCTTTTTGAATGACTCTCTTTATCCTGTAGGTGAGTTATTACTTCCCCCTGAAGACGCTGTGGCGCTCTTTCTTTGCGGCGCTGGTGGCGGCCTTCACCCTTCGCTCCATCAACCCGTTTGGGAACAGCAGGCTGGTGCTCTTCTATGTGGAGTTCCACTCCCCTTGGCATTTGCTGGAGCTCATACCCTTCATCCTGTTGGGTATTTTCGGGGGAATCTGGGGAGCTTTCTTCATCCGCGCGAACATCGCGTGGTGCCGGCGGCGTAAGACGACTCGGCTGGGTCACTACCCCGTGCTGGAGGTGTTGGTTGTTACTGCGGTCACTGCTCTGCTGGCGTTCCCCAACAGCTACACCCGTATGAGCACCAGCGAGCTGATCTCTGAGCTGTTCAATGACTGTGGTCTCCTGGACTCCTCACAGCTGTGTAACTACGCCAACGTGAGCGTCACCAAGAGCAGCAGCGACGCTCTGCCCGACAGGCCTGCGGGACATGATGTGTACACAGCCATGTGGCAGCTCTCGCTCGCCCTGATCTTCAAGATGCTCATCACCGTCGTGACCTTCGGCATGAAGGTACTGGGGCAGAGCCAGCCATCCTGTCCTCCTTTCTTAGATTGATTAATTGATTTGACCACTTAAATATAAAATATGAAACTGTGACGTACATTAAAACATAAATAAATAGTCAGGGATAACACAACAAAGCCCAAAGAATTATTTCCATTGTGGTCCCTTATATGGGCAGCAGGAGAGGACAAGTGGCAGCAATCATCCATTCATCCTTCCTTACTTTCATCTATCAATCCTTTCTGTCTTCCATCATTTATCCATCAAATTTCAATTTCATACATACATACTGTCTTCCTTCCATTCATTACATCTTTCTTTTTCCATCCCCCCATCCATCATACATGTCTTTTTTCCCCCATTCTTCCTTCTGTCCATCCATTTCTTTCTTCATCCTTTCACCCTATCTTCCTTTCTTCCTTACATTTCTGTCCATTTACCATTCTTTCTTCCTTTCATCCATTTCTTTCTTTCTCTCATTCATTCTTTCGTTCTTTCTTTGTCTTTTTTCCATCCACACTTTTTCTTTCCAATTCTTTCTTTGTCTTTTTCTGTCCTTCATCCATCCATCCTTTCCATCTATCAATTTCTTTATTTCTGTCCTTCTTTTTTCATTCTTTCTTTCTTCCATCTTCCATTCATTTGTTTCATCATTTTTTTTCTTTCTTCCTTCATCCATCCACCCTATCTTCCTTTTGTCCATCCATTTCTTTTTTTCCTTTTTACCATTATTTCTTCTTTCCATTCATCCCTTTCTTTGTCTTTTTTCTGTTATTTCTTCTTTCCTTCATCCATTCATCATTTCTTTCATCTAACCATTTCTTTATTTCTGGCCTTCTTTTTTCCAATCTTTCTTTCTTCCATCCATCTTTCCTTCATTTGTTTCTTCATCCTTTCACCCTATCTTCCTTACATTTCTGTCCTTTTACCATTCTTTCTTCCTTTCATTTATTTCTTACCTTCTCTCATTTTTCTGTCTTTTTTCTGTTCTTCCTTCTATCCTTCATCCATCCGTCCTTTCCATCTATCGATTTCTTTATTTCTGTCCTTCTTTTTTCCTTTTTTCTTTCTTCCTTCATCCATCCACCCTATCCTCATTTTTTCCATCCATTCCTTTATTTGTCCTTTTTGCCATTATTTCTTTCTTCCATTCATCCCTTTCTTTGTCTTTTTTTTCTGTTCTTCTATCTTTCCTTCATCCATCCATCATTTCTTTCATTCTGGCCTTCTTTTTTCCAATCTTTCTTTTTTCGATCCATCTTTCCTTCATTTGTTTCTTTCATTTTCTTCATCCATGCACCCTATCTTACTTTTTTCCATCCATTTCTTTATTTCTGTCCTTCTTTTTACCATTCTTCCTTCCTCTATCCATCCATTTCTTTTCTCTCTCTTTCTTTCTTCATCCATTCTATTTTCCTTTCTTCCATTATCCATCCCTCCCTCTCTCTGTCTCCTAAGGTCTTGACACACTTTCCATTTCCTTTTTGAATAGTTTGATGTTCACACAGGCCGTTGTCTGTTCGGTCTTCTCCTGTGTGTTCTTCAGGTGCCCTCTGGTCTCTTCATCCCCAGTATGGCTGTGGGAGCGATCGCAGGCAGACTGCTCGGTGTGGGTATGGAGCAGCTGGCATATTACCACCACGACTGGGTAATCTTTAGAGGCTGGTGCTCACCTGGAGCGGACTGCATCACTCCAGGCCTTTATGCTATGGTGGGCGCTACTGCCTGCTTGGGTAAGAATCTTTTCAATTTTATTTAAACTCTATTCTGTCAAAAATGTGCCATTAGTGGCTTGTCCAGCTGCCTTTTTGTCAGACCTGTCTTTCTTTCACAGGCGGTGTGACTCGTATGACCGTCTCTCTGGTGGTCATCATGTTTGAGCTAACGGGCGGTCTGGAATACATCGTACCGCTCATGGCTGCCACCATGACTAGTAAATGGGTGGCAGATGCTCTGGGTCGAGAGGGCATCTATGAAGCTCACATCCGTCTCAACGGCTACCCCTTCCTGGAGTCTAAGGAGGAGTTCAGCCACAAGACACTGGCCATGGATGTGATGCGACCTCGCCGAAGCGATCCCCCACTCTCCGTGATTACACAGGACGGGATGAGCGTGGAGGAAGTAGAGTCGCTCATTGCTGAAACATCATACAGCGGCTTCCCTGTGGTCGTCTCACATGAGTCTCAGAGACTTGTGGGCTTTGTGCAGCGCAGGGATCTGGTCATCTCTATTGGTAAGAGATTACATTTTTTTTATGGTGATCTTTCTTTTGCGGTTTTCAGACCACATTGTACATTGTTTGTCTTGTTCCAAAACAGGGACTTACGTTTTTTACAATGTTGCAGTTTTTTATGGGTTCATTTCATTTTCGCAAGGCGTTTGCCGAAACCCACCCCATTCACGCAATCTCAGACCGATTGTCGTGATTATGTCAAAAATAACCAAACTTAAGGATCAAACATGATAAAATGCCCTTAGGTCTTTAACTGTGCTTACTGATGATGAACAGATCTTCGTAAATTAAAAAAATAGTTCACCCAAAAAATTTTATTCGATCAACTTTTACCTTATGTTGTTCAAAATCTTTGACTTTTTCTTCTGTAAAGGCCAATTCACACTGTACCGACAGATGCAGACCAACACCACAGTCACCTGATCATAGCACGTCACTTCTCAGACAGACATGCTAAATACGATTCAGCTTTTTCAATCAGTGAAAACAAGCTCTGACAGGGGTAACACACTGATCCAACAAAACCCTTGTGTGTCCCTTGCCGTCTGTTAGTGCGGTGTTAGTTCACTTTAAAAAAAACTTTTGCTGATAATTCACTCACCCCCATGTCATCCAAGATGTCTATGTCTTTCTTTCTTCAGTCAAAAAGAAATTAAGGTTTTTCATCAAAATGAACAAATCTTTTTTCGAGTCATTTCGTTCGTTCATTTTGATGAACGAGTTCGAACAGGAGAGTCATGAAAGCGCATCACAGAACAGAGCAAGGCGAGCATTTGTGCTTATAAAACTTCAACTTTTTTTATTTATTTTTTTTAAATGAGCGTTCGTTTCGCTAGATAATTCATCGCCTGGTATCGTTTAAAGCGATTTGAAGCTGCACTGAAACTCTCATTTGGACCTTGAACCGTTTGGTTCCCACTGAAGTCCATTATATGGAGAAAATCCTGGAATGTTTTCATCAAAAACCTTAATTTCTTTTCAACTGAAGAAAGACAGACATGGACATCTTGGATGACATCGGGGTGAGTAAATTATCAGCAAATGTTTTTTTTAAAGTGAACTACTCCTTTAAGACACCAAGTCGTTTTTTGTTCATATAATTATAGTCAATGGAGTGAGCCCATAATTGTTTTGCACATTTCATTGTATGGACAAAAATATTGTTACACAGTAGAAAGTCATACAGGTTTGGACAGACATTTTTTGTGAACTATCCCTCTCTATTACTGTATTATTATAGGGCTCATGTGAATTATAGGTCTCTCATGAGAAGGTTTATTATGCTCCATTTCCCTCTGGCAGAAAATGCTCGTCAGCGGCAGGAAGGTGTGGTCAGCGCCTCCCGAATTTTCTTCACTGAATACACACCTCCACAGCCACCCAACAGCCCTCCCCCGTTGAAGCTCCGTGGTATCATGGATCTCAGCCCATTTACCGTAACAGACCACACTGCCATGGACATTGTGGTGGACATCTTTCGCAAGCTGGGTCTGCGCCAGTGTCTCGTCACTCACAACGGGTACGTGCTTGGTTCGTTTAGCTTTGCAGTTTTACAGACTCTTGTTTTTGAGTCCACGTTAGCTCAATATAATGATCGTTCCTGTTTCCCACAGGCGTTTACTGGGCATCATCACCAAAAAAGACATTCTGAAACACATGGCCCAGATGGCCAACCGAGACCCTGACTCTATTCTTTTCAACTGAACTGCCAAACGGGCTGTTATGAAACACCAGCTAGTTTGAAACAACCCACTGGGCAGAAAACACCAGTCTGGCCAAATGATTTGCACTACAGAACTGCCAGTACTGGATTTGCCTCCATTCACACTGTGAATCCATTTTTAGGGCCTCATTGGTGCAGGCGCTACAACTTCAGGATTGAGAACCTTCAGAAGTGTTCTATGCACCCCAGCAAGAAGCTTAAGAGGTGGGACTGAATGCAACCAAGTCTTGGTGTTTGCAAATAGCCAACCAATCTTAACATCAAAGCATCAAAACATATCACAATATATACCACACGGACAAGTGATGAAATCATAACACTTTGTAGCATCAATCTGTTTAAACATATACATTCACCTACCTTGGTTCATCTATGAGACATAGTGATATCAGTCATTGCATATTTCTCTTCCACAATGCGATGGATGTTAAGCATAAGTTAAAACCTTTATTTGTTGTTTACATGTTCATGCACATTTTTAGTCATTTCAAGGAGCACTTGCAAGTATTCCACCATCTAAATGTTATCAATTAGGTTTTGAGTGTTAATTTATGAGTCTGATGATTCACAGTTTCCTTATTTTGTTAAGTCTTCGCTACATTTCAGTTTTGTACGTCATACACAGCATTGTGCCGTTTCTCCCAAGCGATGATGCATTAAATGATACATTCTGTATTTGTTTTCATATTACATGCACTTTTCAAAATTACAACTTCATTTTTTACACTACCATTTGAAAGTTTGGGGTTGGTAAGTTTTTTTCATGTTTTTGAAAGCAAAAAAGTTACTTAAGCTCATAAAGGCTGCATTTAGTTTATCAAAAATACAATAAAACCGTAATATTGTGAAATACTGTTGCATTCATCATTACTCCAGTCTTCAGTGTCACATGATCCTTCAGAAATCATTCTAATATGCTGATTTGCTGCTCAAGAAATATTCTTATTATTAGCAATGTTAAAAACAGTTGTGCTGCTTAATATTTTTGAGGAAACCGTGAAACATATAAATCTATTGTACAATTATAAATATCAAATAAATAACAGTCACTTGATCAATTTGATATATATATTTTTTTTAATCTTACTGACCCCAAACTTATAAATATTTGATGTGGTTCTCAAACATTGTGCTCTTAAAACCACTGTTAAAAATACAGAGTATGTAGCATTTCCCTATGCAAGTGATTTTTGGACAACATAAACTAATGCGATTAATGCAAATGAATGCATTACATTATACCATTAACTCAGTAATACAATTCAGATTTGCCCTTTAATTCTGATTAGCTTCTGTTGGCACACTCTTTAATTATCTATTTATTAACATTTTCTGAGGCTTGACTTATTGGTGCCCATGTTTTCTCCATCTACAGATTCTCCTTATGTGTATTGCATGTACCATTTATATTCATATCACATGCATGTCCAAATGTAACCCGAGCATGCAAAATGTAGTCATCTGAATTGTGTAATTTCATGGTATGCATACAAACCCAGATTTGAACCCATTTTAATGTTAAAGTCTGCATCTATCTGGTTCAACCTCTTTTAATCATTTGAATTTCTCTGCTAGCCTACCAAACCACTATGCTAATTCACAGTGGGACATAAAATGAATGCTAAAACTGTACTTGAAACTTGAAAGTTTGTTGGCTGGTTCTCAGTCCTTAAATAACTTCAACAGTATTTAAATTTTTTATCAAAATGTCAGTCCTTTAAAAGAAAAAATTAAGGGCCACTTTATTAAGAACATCTTATAGCATTGTGTACTAATTTTGTTGGAAAAAAATAAGTAATTGAAGCCAGAAATCATTTTGTTGGGTTCTTTGTACTTATTGTTTAAATTATGTGAACTTGTTGTTTTTTTTAATTTCAGCATTATCCATTAGTGTTAAATAAGAATGTCACATTATCATTGTAATTTATTCATAAGCACTACATGAAATAAAATTACATGTAACATGCTCACTTCAGTGTTTCTTTTCTGTGTGGATTGTGAGTTTCTCCTTTGGTTTCACTCATGTCCTACCTAGGTATTTCAGATTGGACAAAAAAAAAAAAAAATTTTTTAACAACGGTTATATTAACTTTGGCTTATTTTGAAAAATATGAGTCATGTGATGTCTCTCTTAACCTTCCCCCATTTTGGCTCTAGATTATTTGCTAGACTTTTACTTCAGACACAAGTGAATGACACATGTTTGACTCATAATACATTATGGGTGGCTAAGTTTCCTTAATAGGAGACTTCTCATCCATGAGTAGTCACACTCCTTTTAGGAAAGAATGAACAATATAAACATAACATTTATTTAAAAGAAGACCAAAAAAACATCAAAAGAAGCAGGCTATTAATCTGGCATGGTTTGTATGCACTTTTAGTAGCAGCTTGCACAAAGTTTTGTGCATTTGTTCAAGGTAAAAAGTCTTTATTATTAGTATGTGGTTATTGTCATCATTTTCAGGTCTTCCTAATGTTTAACATCAGGTTTGTCTTCATAAAGCCCTCACAGATTTTCTCCCATTCAGATGGGAGTCCAGAGCCATATAAAACTCAGCCCACAAAGGTCAAACGGTCTTCCTCATCTCAGACCACAATAACAAGATGGTTTTCTGAAAAATAAGAGTTGTTTGCTCATTACAGGGCCATTTGAACTCATCAGATGGTGGAGTATCTGTGCTTTCCTCTCTTCATGGTTCCCATGTGGGGCCCTCAGACAGAAACAATTTCCTTTCCCCTTGGAATGAGACCACAAGCCCCAACTGCTTCCCTCAGAGGTCAAACAGGAAGGCCCCGAAATAGCTGGAGGAGTCTTCTGCATACACAGCTGTGGGAGAGGACACCGAGATGAAGATCTCATCACCTGCACGAAGTTCAAACAGGCCGCCCTGGTAGATGGAGTGAAGGGCGTTCTCGCTGTCTGGAGACCAACATTTGGTGCCCACGCCCTTCAGGAGCTGAATAGGCCGAGCGTAGGCAGTCTTCTTGTAGACACACTGGACCACCTGGTGGCTGACGGATCCAGAGTGGTAATTGTCCATGGAGAGGGTGAGATAACGGAAGTAGACTTGGGCGTACAGGTAGTAGCGGCCTGCGCTAGGAATACGCAGCCGGCCGTTGGACACGGTCATGTTGTGCAGGTGGGAGCCAAAACTTTGGTTCCCCCAGGAACGGACAGGATGGCGACAGGACTGGTGAAGGTCGGTCTGGGGGGTTAAAGATGTCGTACCTGGTTTAGTAGGGAAGAAGATGCGACAAAAGTTAACAGAAATTTGCTTGTGAGCACAACAAAGCATTTGTTGAACACATTTTTTCAGACAGGAAAGAGTCAGACATGTTTTGTTATGTTACTGAATTCCTATTGGTTGTGGTTTGTAGGGTTATTTCCAGAATATTGTTTTTGCTGACCTAAGAAATGCACACACCCAAACATGCTGGCAAACTCACCCTGCAGTCCACTGTCTCTGAGAGTAAGATGAGCTGACGGCCGTGGGCTGCCAGTGGTGAGTAATTTTGTACGTGGAGGGATAGCGACTCTTTCTGAGAAACAGTCGAGAACAAAGAGTGAACCAAACAACTCAAATAAAGTCATTTAAAAGATATAGATTACTGAATTTTAAAAGAGACTGTAGGTTAGTTCAGGCATCAGAAGAAAGTTGTTCTTCAATCGATGAGGAAAACACTTGAATTCCTGTGGTTTCATGTTACCTTGAAAGGTGTGTTTGGAGATAATGTTTTCTGTGACCTAAAAGAGACCCACCCCCCAAAAAAAGAATGTAATCAGATGTGTGGGGAAAAAAAGCATAAAATTATACTGAAATTTCTGCTATTAGGGTTGAAAAAAGTGTTACACATATAAACTTCACTAACTCATTTTCCACATTCAAAGTCCATGACAAAGACAATCCAGCTCTTTTCTGGAACACCGGAATGGAAAAATCCCATTAAATCCACAGATGAGAGAGAACAAGCTTCAATGTGTGTGTGAACTGAACCGAAAGGACTCGTTATCATAGATATGTATATAAAGGCTAGATATGTCGTCCACGCTGCTGGCCAATGGAGGTTGACGTCTGCACCTGGCGGCCATCTTGTCACAGGCAGCTCGCTCACTTGTAACATTGTGTTAATGGTACATGTACTTTTTAAATCACCACAACTTGCTCAATTTTCTACTGATTTTCAAACGGTTTGTTTTGTTATAAACGTCAGAGATGTAGTTACTTATGAATGAAAAGTTTATAAATAAATAATCATCCAGATAATTATAGCCACGTTAATAACGTTTGTAAGAAACCAAACCATTTGTAAATCCGTCAAGATTTCAACGAGATAAGAGTATTTGTGTTCGTGCTGACCACTCATCTTACATCAGCTTGTCTGTGACAAGATGGCCGCCGTAACACATCTAGCCTTTATATATATCTATGCCCGTTATACTCAAGGCAAAGTTCTTTTGTGTTCTTCGTTTTGGCAAGCTGTTTCGAACTCCCAAAACGAACTTCGTTTCGGCCTAATTTTGTTCGAAATGATGTCACATCTGTTCGTTCTTCCTTCGATTTTGTCTTTAAGTATAAAGGGGGGTTTACACTGATGCCTAGTGTTGTGGATGCAGTTTTACACAAAATAAAAAATCCTCAGCTATTGTACAATGCGCTATTCAAAATCAGCCAGGACTGATTTATTTAGTGAGCTATAGTGCCCAATAAAAGGGATTACGGAGGTAAAGCGAGTAGTATTCAGCTAATCATGTGATTTCAATATGGCCACCCCCATGAGGAGATCCACACCATGTTGAGTAATACTTTTATTAGGTTACTGATATGACTGCTACTATTAATTTCTTCAACTTTTTGAGTAAAAAGGACTGAAGTGTGATTGTAAATTGCTTACAAGTGAGCAGAAATCTGTTACATAACTTGTAATAATGCTGAATGCTTTTGTGGTTTTCTGCCGCTACTTTCCCACTGGTCTTGTGCATATCTAAAGGATTCAAATGCCATAACAGACTCATTCCCATGACTCCAGTAGACATCAGTGATAAGAAGCAGAGCATGCTTTTGATGTACTTGCGTGTTTAATGTGCTTTCATGTCTAAAATAATTATATGTAACATCTTTGTAGGATTTTTTGGATAATTTCTTGCATAGAGCCAGTTTCAAACCAAACGTGTGGGAGAAATACATCAGTAAAACTTTATGTTGGATTGTTTTAACCAAGCCCCTCTGCATTTCTTTGCATGTTTTATTGAGAAATGCAGTATCTCTTTACCTTGGAGATGTAGGCTTTGAGTCCTTCAGCTAATTTAATGCATGGCTCCCCAAAGAGCTGAACCAGGTCATCAGGTACATCCTGTTCCTTCTCCATAGCGTTCAGAAGACCAAGACACCTCAGCTCCTCCACCACACCTTCTGTTCGAGCCTGTCGATGACACCGATCTCAATTCACCAGTCCACTTAAAACTTATCATTTGATGAAACATCCTAAAAAGCATTCTTTCCAAGCAATACTTTCAAAACTTTCAAAATATTAATTTAATTTTGTGGGAAGCATTCTACCTGTTATACAGGTCTGCTAGGGCCTTCATCGGATGATGGTTGCCTATTCCTCACAGTTCTAGCAAGGGAACGCTAGACGCATAATATACACCTCCAAAAAAGTGCTGGAGGGGAGGACAGAGAGTGGGCCACTAATGCGGGCGGTTTAATTACTCCTTTAGGAGTAACCATCAGGAAATGTGTTAACATAGGTCCCACCACTATGTCCACACTATCAATTCAAGGTCCATGCTGGAGGGGCGACAGATGAGGGAGTGGGATGCTATTAGTGCTAATGCATAACTCTTCCTTTTCTGTCAACAGCACCTTCCTGCACACATCACAAGGAAAGTGCAAAATACTGCTTCCATGATCCATGTATTGGAGGGGCAACAGAAGGGAAAATGGGACATTACTAGTGACAATGTCCACATTCCTCTTTTGGGAACAGACCATACGAATGTGATTACATATGAGACACATTGACGCTTCCTCTCTACTCTAAGTACCGAGAGATGGTGATAGATGAGGAAGTGGGATGGGAGTGGCAGTATTGCCCACTCTCTTCTTCTGTTTAAGGCTTGACACATTTTCTAAACCCACTAGCAATCTTTGATTTGACACTTTACAAAACAAACAGACATGCAGGCTAAAATTGAACATGCTCACACAGACAAAGCAGATTCCAGACAAAAGAGTTGATGACGTGTTGTTCGGGCGGCCTTTTATAGATTGTCAGCGTGTCTGTGACATCATCCGACTGCTGTAGCCAATCAGAATTTGGCGTGTATGCACACATGCTTCAGAAACCGGTTCACGTGAAACGTTCCCATAGCATCAACACCACGACGCAGTGTCGAAGTTCTTTGAAAGGGAACTTGATGACTTTTTTCGATATGTAATCTAAACAAACAAAAAACTGAACTTGTCATAAAAAGTCCCTGTTAAGGCTGTTTGCGGTCAAAATTGACCAACCATACGAAATGGTTAAAATATGTGTTGAATAAAATCTATATATCTGTCACAATGTTGAACAAACAGGAGAGAGGCTGTAAAACTTTGAAAGTGCAAAAATAAAACTCACTTTCTAAGCATTAAATCTAGATTACAGAAGGAAGCTCCCTAAAACACTTTAGCCATCTACTGGCCTTTATTGTCATAACATTATTTTGACCTGACATGAAGTAATGTTATTTTTGTCTAGACCCAGTAGGCCTACATGATAAATTCTCATATTTTCTTCATGCCTCAACTTATAGAAGTGTATATTTTTACTTAAGTAAAGTTCCAAAAGCTTGTGTATTTGCTTATAAATGATGGTGAAATTTACAAAAACTAAAATAATTAAATCTAAAAGCACACAAAAAGTGCATAATTATATTTTTACTATTTCAGGGAAGTTAGTGAAAGCTTAGAACGGTTCAAATGACAAAATAATAATATGAGGAAATTATATCAGAAAATGACCAGGCTTACCACAATGGAAAACTATTTAGACAGCAACCACTTCATATAATATTAAATGTCAATAAATATCTCTGTCACTAGAAAAACAGGGTTAGACTAGATTATACTACAGATATTTGAAGTTCTCGAAGGCTTCTGCATTTGACTTTTTTTTTTTTCCCACAGTATTGTTTATTTTCAGAGCCCGAGCCCCTTGTGTATTGTGTCTAACTCATCACATGTGACCCAAATTGCAAAACCCTCACACTCAAAACCACTGACCTCTCATAAAGAAGAGGATTTATAAGTAATTAATATGCTAATTCAATCTGACAACATTCCTCTGATTTAGTTAGCCGAGCGCTCAAATCTTTCTTTATCTTTGAGGGGAGTTTCCCAGACCACTTTCAACCTTGTTTTAAAGTCCTTTACCAATAATTTTATTATACCGTTTTGGAGAGATACAATTAGACAGATGATGTTATTGGTATTATATTAATAAATACTTAAATCATGTAATTACTAAAAGGGCACATTTGATTGTTTTTGCAGCAAATAGAGGAACAAATGATTTGCTGAAACAATCTTAATAACACATACAATCATTAATATTCAGTGCATTATGCAACTTGCCCCACAGGACATTTTCAGTCAAGAGTTTGACAACTTTAAATTAAAGGACACCATGGGAGTTTGAAAGCCTTAGATGATTTCAATACAAGATTTAGAAAAGAATTCAGCAATTCTATGTGCAAAATGTATTGACTGATTATTTGTATCAGAATGCATTATGACAAAGACCCATGACCTAATGAATGCAGTGATACCCTTCTCAAGACTAGTCAAAGAAAAAGCTGTGCACAATGAAAACGAGCCTAATCTCCAGTTCTGAGGAATGTTAGCCTACATGTGGAATGGTTTTACAGAAAATAGATTTTAAAGTGATACAGACATCACACCGTTAGTAATAACAGCAATATAAGTAACGTAATAACTTTTTGTTGCATGCAGTTTTACCTGTGCCATTGACATGTTCAAGTATATGAAGAGTCCAGTGGTCGAGGCAACTTGAAGGACAATCACGATAACAACAACCGTAGTCACCCACAACCTGGACGGCACTTCGAGACGATTTTTGGGCTGAACCATGATGAATGAGCTCGATTCGCTGCTTACAGATTGTAAATATTCGGAGTTGCCTTCGGATGCCGCGGCATTCCTGTCGAATGACTCCATCACGCGCTGAGGAGGGGCTGCAGACTCCATGTCCATCTCTATGGACTAACTAAAGAAGTTTGATTTTACCAACCACCACACACAACGAGTCCAAGGACACAAGTATGTTTTAATGACAATAGTATCATCTTATAGGCAAAATAGGTTCCAGTAAATCCTGCGTTTTAGTGACAATAAGTTAAAAACACGCTGCTGCGAGGAATAACAACCGAACGAGTTTGACGATAGACTGGCAATATCATCCGCTCTCCATCCTGCCTTCTCGGTTTTCATTTGACACCTCCTCGTGCCTCCCATTATTATTACCTGCTGTTTGTTCTGTTTTTCACGCTGTGTAGAGACTGTAATAAATTAATAATTATACCAATAATAAAACATGGCAGCACAAAGGCTAATTACACAATGCTGGGTAGTTATGTAGCTACTACTAATCTTGATTACGTGATCAGATTCAAAAAAGTAAAAACTTAGATTACAAATTAGATTATATTGGCCTGGTTTCACAGACAGGAGTAGGCATTAAATTAACACATTTAAGTAGCTTTTATAGCCTAAACGTGGCTTAAAAACTATTACCGGTGTGAGACAAATAATCACACTGGCATATTGTAAGATATTTTTTTCAGGTTAGACAGACATCAGATCAGACAGTTACTTTTTTTTAATTGATTACATGATTACATTCACAAAATATCAGTATATCATTCATCAATTAAATCAATAATTATATATATGTTGCTTATGTGGACATTCAGAAAGTTCTAGTTTTGTGAAATTGCACACACTATAACATGGAAAACACATTGATTATTATTTGAATTATAACTTAAGTAAGTAATTTAACCATGTATATTGTGATGTCTTTGTAAGGCTTTGTCTTGTCTATTATTTAAAAATGATTTTATTTACATTTTAAAATGGTATGATTTATTTATTAGCTTTTCGTCAAACTAACATACCACCTGCAGTTCCAGTTTGGATAGCCCTGACTTAATGTAATACAGTATTTAATGCACTTCATGTATGAATTGAATAGGCTATTTTTATATCAACATGGTACAGTATTATTATATTCAATTCAATGTGGTAAATGAGTTAGGCCAAAACAGTAATCTAAAACTAGGCTAAATCAAAAACTATCAGCTTCCATATTTACCAATTACTATGGTAGACTAATAAAAAAAAAAGTAATTTCAAGCATACTAGTGTAAGTACAAGCAATAATAAGTAATAGTTTGACAAATGTTTATTACACTTTACATCACATCACTTTTTAAAATAACTTTTGAAGATTATTTATGTATTTATTATAATTTTGTATTGAGCATGCAGTAGTATGTAGTTCTATGTGTGTTTTTCTGTATTTTGTTGATGAATGTATACAGCTGATATTGCAGAGGAGAATATGTGCACTATCTCACACACAGCAAATCTGCTTTTTAAATGTGTGATCAGACTGTTTAGTCTTATCTTTAACTAAAACTGTTATTAAAGTGACATTCTTGCAACATGTTTTGATTTCAATCAGGTACACATTTTGCATATAGCATGACAGCTTGGCTGGGACTTATTCACCAAGCAGAGACTCATGGTTTGTTTACCAGTTGTTTCCTGTTTTTTCTGTTCAGCTTACTGCCAAATACCATCCCAAGATGTTTCCTAAATCAAAGCAACAAACAATAGGACTAAAGGGGAAATACATAGGCTCTAGATTGTGTTTATTTGATTTCCTGTTCATGCATGATGTTGGTATGCAGATACAAGGATGGGAGACAGATGTTTTGGGTGCAGTCTCTGAGTTACAGCGGCCCCCTGATTCCCCACACCCACATACAGCAGCTTTACATGAGGGGCTGACAACAGCTGGAGAAGGGAAAGTCACAATAACAACTCTTTTGCAAAGAAAATATCTATTTGATTTCAATGCAACAATATAAACTATAAATCCCAGTCAGGTTTTTCACGTTTTGGTTTCACTCAGGCATGCATGTAAGATATGTGCAGATATTTTATAAAATTTTGATTTTTTTTTTTACATGAAACATTCATCATTAAAAGGTTAAAAAATGAATAATTTGTATCTGATTGTTAGTAGACAGACTTAATGGTTTGTCTTGCTCTAGGGTTTAAAGCAGCTTGTTTTTATTGTGTACCAAGCACAGCATAACACCACTTTTAAGGGGAAGATATAGCCTACTGTATATCTGCAGCAGCTGTCTTCAGCTTTTCCTCAGGACAACTGGGGGAATTCTGAGCTTACAGACATCTGGGCATCGAGGATGAGATTACTGTACTGGAAGAAGAACTGGAAATATGAATAACAAGTGGAAAAACACAAAATTATACAAGTTTATACACCCTTATTACCTTTAAGTATGATACAGAATATTGATAATATGATACAGAAAATTCATTTGAAAATAGATTTGACTTTTGGTCAATGTAAATTGCCTATCATAACGCGACTTTTAATTATTTTTAATGGAATTGGCCACAGTGCAGATCTTAAATAAAAACTATCTTTGTGATAAATCAGTTGATTAAATTAATTTCAAATTCATATTTAATTAAAATCATTAAAAAAAGGCCACGAGATGGCATCATCTGAATTTTTGGCTGAACCGGATGAGGGCGGTGATGATTATTTTGAGTTCAAGCGGGAAAAATGAATACGTGATGACGTACGCTGTGTCACGTTGAATGCTTGTTTTGGTTTTTGCTAAAGGCTGTAAAAACGGTAAAAACGGATTTTGCGATGGCTCCCATCAAAATAAAACATATCGTCTCGTTTACTTCACAGGTAAATATCTGGTCGAACTTTCATGTATACGGCGAGACAGCAATTAATAACAAGTACTTGAACTGTATAGCATTTAACTGCCATGAACAATATCACGTAACGTTAATTAATGAATGATGAAGGGTTCATACAGATTCAAATCATTTTTCAATAAACTAACTAATCCCGCACATTGAAAATAGAGACATTTAAAAAAAAACATTGAATGTACTTTATAATATAATGCTAATAAATATGCTAATGGGTGTTATTAATTAATTGTCATGTATGTAATACTGTGAGTAATGCAAGTTATTAAAGCAATAACGTTCTCTCTTACATTACTGAATTGGAGGATATTATTTAAAGGAGTAACTTAACGTTAGTTCACTTTAAAAAAAAAAAATTATCTTTTGCTGATAATTTACTCACCCCCATGTCATCCAAGATGTCCATGTCATTATTTCTTCAGTCGAAAGAAATTAAGGTTTTTGATGAAAACATTTTTTCTCCATATAATGGACTTCAATGGGAACCAAACGGTTCAAGGTCCAAAAGACAGTTTCAGTGCAAACTGTTCAAAGACGATGAATAAGGGTCTTATCAAGCGAAACGATCACTCATTTAAAAAAAACAAAAACAAATTTTAAGTTTTATAAGCTCAAATGGTCGTCTTGCTCTGTTCTGTGATGCGCGTTCTAACTCTAACAGAGCAAGGCGACCATTTAATATTGTTGTTTTTTTTTGTTTTGTTTTTTAAATGAGTTATCGTTTCACTTGATAAGACCCTTATTCATCGTTTAAAATCTTTGGTCCCCATTGAAGTCCATTATATGGAGAAAAATCCTGGAATGTTTTCATCAAAAACCTTAATTTCTTTTCGACTGAAGAAAGAATTACAGACATCTTGGATGACATGGGGGTGAGTAAATTATCAGCAAAAGTTTTTTTTTAAAAGTGAACTACTCCTTTAAGAATGGGGTGAATAATCTGTGCGGGGGCAGTGACAGCAGCAGGCTCTGGTTGTTATGTATGTAATAATGAGTAATGCAAGTTATTAAAGCAATAACGTTCTCTCTTACATGACTGAATTACAGGATAGTAAGCATGGTGTGGATAATCTGTGTGATGGCAGTGACAGCAGCAGGCCCTGGTTGTGCAGCGTTCAGGACCGCAGTGGAGTGCTGAGGGTGGAATTACAGATGGAACGAGTCTCTCCTATAGGATTCATTGATGTTGGTGTGTTTGTTAACAAAAAAACGTCCACTATAACATGATATGTGTTCGTGACATTAATATTCATGCTCTTCCTGTTTTTTGTTTGTTTGTAAAGGCAACTGTGGCTCTGCGTTCATTCAGTTTGATGTTGGCCGCTCCTCCTGGTCATTAGATCATCCCTATGTCACCCTGCTGCCCACTGCAACCCTCATGAGTCCAGCCGACTCCAAACAGGGCACTGGTCGCCAAAATGTGCGCATGTTTAAAAAAGGTAAAATGACTACAAATTTCCCTGGTATTTCTCACTTAGTTTTGGGTTGACACTTGTAATCCTCGGTGCTCGAAACAGAACAAAGACAACAAGCGCAATATTTTATAATTAAATAAATGTACTATATTTTGTTTCCATAATATTTTTTCTTTAATATTTTGTATTTTGTGCAGATTTCATGATACTAGACCATATTCACCTCTAAATGATGTGGCATTTATTTTTTGAACATAAAATTATACAAATATAAAAAAAATATTTAATATTATTTTAAATTAATACAGCATTTAAGTTCCAAATCCAAAGCATTGAAAGGGGATTGGTGCCATCATAAAATTCTGAACAGACAACTACAAAAAATAACATGTAATTTATTTACTAGAGGTTCTGACAAAATGTTAATTGCTGCAGTCCATTTAAAAATCTTAATCTGAATGAATTATTTTTTTTTTAAATTGGTTTGAATGAGTTGAATCAGTGTTTATATCCAAGCTATAAACCTTAAAATGAATATAAAAGAAATGGAATCATTGTCATTTAGGAATGAGGTTTCGTGGGTGTTTGATTCGCGATCTTTTAACTATTAATCGTGCAGTTCTAACAAGGAAGGACTAATTACTTAACCCCTTAGCTGTCACCCCCCTTTTTGAGAATGGGGGTTAAAATGCACTATTCAAACTTAAATGGTTGTAATTTAAGAATGCTTTGGAATATATACCCAAGTTTGGTCTTGTTTTAAAGAAAACACTCAGCAGAATATTGCTGAAGTGAAAACACTTCAAAAAATGAAAGTATGAAAAAGTTATGGAAGTTTAAATTTACAGTAAATTAAACATACTGTACTATATATTTTTTATTTTATATAAAATATATATTTTATAAAATATTTTTTACTCTAAAATTTCTATAAAATTAAAGCCATACATCTTATCAAGTTATGTTCCAAATTTGAAGTTGATATCACAAAAATTGAAGTTCCCATGAGATTTTGTTTAGGCGTAGTACCAAAAATAGCCACCAGGTGCCATTGAATTCCATTGAATTTAGTTGTATACATTCTGCCTTAACAAATTAATAAATTTCTGTCCAAATATCAATTCTGTCACAAAATATGGAACCTTGAGACTCAGACCTTTCTGAAAATATCAGTTTTGTCAAGATTAGAAAAGGTTTTGATCATAAATTATGAAATATGATGATGCCCAAAAGGGGAGGAGCCTGATAAAATAAGTACCGTTTCTATGGTAACGCAACTTTCAATTATAAAACAGTTTTCACATGATGAATTCTGAGTTTATAAGCTTTCAAATGATACCTAATTTATGACAACTTCTAAAATATGTGATATAATAAAAAAAGGCGATAAAAAATAATATTATATTTTAGAGGATAATAAATATAAATATTATCATTTTTAGAGGATAATATTGTACTATAATTTTGTATTTTTATTGAAAAATACTAGATTATATGTTTATTATGAACTTTTAGCATAAAAACAGAAGTTTCAATGATTAAAAGTGGGTTCATCAACTTTTTGTGACAAAGGTCAAAACTCCTGTTATGATGCAGATTTTTTGTGGTGCACTCTTGTCATAAATTCATCAATTACTCTTCCTACATAATTTTCCAACAATATATAATTTGTCATAATTAGATTAGGATTTAATAGAAATATAGTGAAGTAAAGTTAGGCGTCCCGGTACCGGGACGGTGACAGTTAAGGGGTTTTAAGACATAATTACTTTTATGAGGTTTTACTTTTGTATATATATTTAGACATTATCAGAGACTACTTCATTGTAGCCGATTTTCAGTTTGTATGGCAAGAAATTGGTCTGCATTTTTTGTATTTCCCATTCATTTTTCTGTTTTCATAGTTGTCATGAAACGGAAGTTGTGATTTGTCATTTCGTTTCATATTTCGACATATATTTGAGTGAAATGGCTTCTCGAACGGAAAAAAAAATGACGGGAGGGACTTGATTGGATGGTTGTGGTTGGTTTGCTCATCAGAGAAGAGAAGTGATTTTGCTGCAAGACTTATTTTGATTAAAGATTATGAGGTTGCATGAATTAAAACAAATATAATGTGCACAGATAGATCATTTTTAATAAATACCTCAAAAAAAGGTCAATTTTGATTTCATGGTCCATCTTGAAATGATTTGAATCATGTCCACAATTTTCTTTTGTGTTCATATAGCAAGCACCACAGAAGTCACCAAGTTTCATTCAATTTCGATTAAGTAAAAAAGGTTGTTTGGTCTAAAATGACTGAAGGAGACCACCAGAGGATTACATTTGTGAACTGTATGCAAGTGCACAAGACTCAACTATGTTCACTGACACTGAAAGATTAAGATAACGTCTTAAATGTCTCCATGTCCAGCTGATTTTCTCCCTCAGGCTGCAGAGGAGAGCTGGGACAGACTGCGAGTCTCCTGCACTCAACCTTTCAACAAACGTTTGCAGTTTGGTCTGTCCTTTCTGCGCATTGGCACCATGGAGGAAGAGGCTGAAGGTTCCTCAGTGCAACATGAAGATATTGCTGATGAAAATCTGGTGAGAGGTTTCATGAAGGTTTTATGACCTTGTGTGTAAACAAATTAGCATTTTCTTGAATATCCAGTGTCATAGCTGCCATTAAAACTGGGTTCAATTGCTTTTCACAGCACACACCAGACAAGATGACATCCGTGATGGAGTGGCTATCCAGCCCAGCTATCCAAAACACGTTTTTTGGGCGAATCACAGGGTGTGTGAATTAAATATCTGACACACTTCATTTCAAAACTAGATTTGTAGTTACGTCCATGGTAGTCAGAAGGCACTCTGTACTCTCTCTTACAGGAATGACTCCTCAGATGCTCAAAGCCAAAGGAAGGCTGGGAGTTTGAGTCGGGCAGAGCGCATGGTCATAGCCGCCCACTCTACCAGACGCTCTTTGTCAACATCCCCATGCAGTACCACATCCAGCACAACACCTCAACGAAGCGCTAATACGAAAACCCCACCAGGCAAGTTATTTGGCAACAACTCAGATAAAGCAAAAATAAAGAATGCTTTCGAGTGGATCAAGTAAATGTTGTTTCTGTCTATACGGCTACAATCAGGTGAATTTAGGACTTCCAGTGACCAAACGAGAACCCCTCGAGAGCAAAGGAGGAAATCTATGGCACGGTATGAATTGAGAAAAAAGTACTGGTCAAATATGAAGGACAAACAAATCTGTTTACACTTTTTGTTTTTAGTAAATGTATACTTTTATTCAGCAAGGGTGCATTTAAATGATCAAACGATGTCAGTTCCAAATAATTGCTGTTTTTAACTTTGCATTCAGCAAAGTATCTGGAAAAACATGGATCAGGGTTTCCACAAAAATATTAAGCAGCACAACAGTTTTCTACATTGCTAATAATAAGAAATGTTTCTTGAGCAGCGAATCAAAATGATTTTTGAAGGATCATGTGACACTGAAGACTGGAGTAATGATGCTGAAAATCCAGCTTTGCATCACAGGGATAAATGACATTTTAACATTTATTAAAATAGATAACATAAAGTTTTATTTAATTAAAAACCTGCTGTTATTTAATTAACTTTTTCCCCCCCAGTTTAGAAACATTTTATAAATGTGTAGATTTTTTTATAGTTATTTTTAAGGTAAAAAAAAAACATTTTCTTCTTCCACTGAAGCACAAGATGCTCTTTGGAAAATGAAGGAGAACATGATCATGGGGTTTGACACATATTTATGGAGGTTATGCATAGTTCTTCAGGCATAAAAACAAAAGACATACCAAATATTAAGGCATTCTTAAATTAAGATTTTTTTTCACTCATTGATATGCTGATTATATAATTTGTAAGGAAAATTTCCCCTCTAGTCAATCATTTTTATCCTTGAAAAGTCGTCTTTGATCACCAAAATGATATATTTAAATATTATTTCCGGTGATTTTTTTTTTTTTCATGCCTTAATATAGCTTGAATGCAACTCTACACCCTTGCTTTATTTAGTATACGCAGACTCATGCATATGCAAATGAGCCCCGCCTCCACTCACTCATACAGAGTCATCTAGAAGTCGATGTATCAGAATCGTAATGCGTTTTTATGTATCACTCTCTACAACATCGGACACAAAGTGGTAATTAATATGATTAGCCATAAGAAACCATAGTCATAGTGGCATAAGAAACGGCATTAATTTCAAACAGCGTTTTTGAGACTGTCTTTGGTTCACCGCAGTTTTAAGGAGAAAACACTCAGCAATGGTGTTGACTTATGAATTTGCACATGGTTTGTCTTAAAGCACATTAAAAACACCACATAAACATATAAACAACATTAAAAACTTGATTTTCAACACAAGAGGTTATAAAATGAGAAAACTCTTTTGAATAATGGTTCTAGACCCTCTGAACCCTGTTGTATATTCTTTATAAATATATATATTCTCCATTCTATTCATAATTTGTATATAGACCCAAACTGTGTATTCTGTATTTAATGGTGGTCATTCAGGCAGAGCCTCATAAACATTGGCACTCCACTGAAGAGACCCAGACCTGCAGCATCCACACATGAACCCACCTCAACAAGCCCACCCAAAAGTGTCAGCAGACACAGTCAGAGCCCACAGGACACACAGGAATCTGCCCACCAGAGCTCTCCTGAGGCCAGATGTCCTCTTTGTGGAGGTAATGTGATTGTGTACATGCACCTCTGGCAGAAATTTTGGCTCATCATTTACTGCTCACAAGCTGCTCTTCTTTCTTTCTTTTGCTTTTTGTCCGTATAGAATCCTTCAGTTTCGATTATCTGCCTCTCCATGCTTCCACCTGCCTGGATTGTGATCAAGCGGAGCTCATAGAAGTCTCACCGCACAGCAGCTCTTCTGTTTTTGGCTCTGGCACAGATGAGCATATGGTTCCATGTCCTCTTTGCTCCATCCGATTCCCCCCAGACCGTATCCAGCTGCACGCCAGTACCTGTGGGGACACGCTAGAGCCAAGTACTGTGTGGCTGAACTGAGAGAAGAGCATTGTGGTCTCGGAAGCCTTATGCAAATAGAAATCAGGTATTCCCTTGCTTTCTCTGGCATTGTGTGTCCTACTGGCTTATGAGTTATAGAGAATCTTCCATAAAAAGACTGTATTCTTATTGTTTTTATGGACAATTATATCAATGGTCATTATGTTTATACTGTGTGCCATGGGGGGACATTTTAATGTATGAGATGTTTGACTGGCAAACATGTTTGGACTGTAAATATGTTTGTTGTCAAATCTGCCATTCACTCTTTTCGTGGTATCAATTAGAATATTAAATGAAACCTTTGATTTTAATTATCAATATATTCTCATAATTGTGAAATATGTGATTTGGAAAGTTTAGATTTTTTAGGATTTGCCCGGTCATTTTTTTCATTTTCTCAACAACAAAATAAATATATCTTTTTAATTAAAACTGATAGGATAAATATTTATACACTACAAACTGTTAAAAAATGTTGGTCAGTAAGATGTTTTAATGTTTTAAATAAAATGTCTTATGCTCATTGATCAAGGTTGCATTTATTTGATCAAAATACAGTAAAAAATAGAAGGAATATTGTGAAATATTATTAGAATTTAAAATAACTGTTTTCTATTTTAATATACTCTCAACTGTAATTTATGCCTGTGATGCAAAGCTGTATTTTCAGCATCATAACTCCAGTCTTCAGTGTCGCATGATCCTTCAAAAATCATTATAATATGCTGATTTGCTGCTCAAGAAACATTTATTATGATTATCAAGCTTGAAAACTGTTGTGCTCCTTAATATTTTTGTGGAAACCAATTTTTTTTTTGCTAAATAGAAATTGAAAAAGAAATGCAACATTACAATGCCTTTACTGTCACTTTTGCTAAATTTAATATGGTCCTTGCAGAATAAAAGTATTAAATAAAAAAGACTTAAACAGTCATACATGTCAGGTCAAGTAACCTTTATTTATGTAGCGCTTTTTACAATACAGATTGTGTCAACACTTTACAATAAAGAAAGATATATATTGCAATAATTTCTCTAAATAATTTTCAAATAGCTGGCCTGAAACGCTCTCACAATGACCTTGTGTCATGGGGCCATCCTTATTGTTGAGCCCTGCTGTTTACTGAGGTGTTGAAAGGAGGAAGTGCACTGATGGGGGAGTGGAAATTCAGAAGTCCTTAGTGAGCTCTAATGGGATGCAACATAGTGTTACAGTTGCATTTTTAATTGGCCGTGTCCTTCTGGGAATTACACCTGTTATTTGGTTCGTTCACAATGTAATCATTCAGCTGTGTGTTGACTCCTCAGTGGTGGCAAACCAGTGAACCTAATCACTCTCTTCAGATCAGAATTAGAGCCTCATAAAACAGCATTACTAACTGGCTTTTGAAGCTGCTTTGTTTGTTTTTTGGATTTACAGTGGACATGTGAGACATCCATTGATACAAGCCCACTGTAATATTTATTTCCCAGGTGTGTCTGAAGATGGAAAACCTCACGGTAAGTGTTCATTGTGAGAAATTATTTTGTGAGTTTATTCAGTAAGCATGTGTGAAAGTGTTTGGAAATGGTATCTGTTATTAGAAGTTTAGGTTATGTGACAATCTGCTCATTTTATTTCCACCAAGATTAAATGTATACATTATTTATACAGCAGTTTGAATGAGTTTGTGTATATCTATACATTGGAAAAATACTATTTTACATTTGTCTAATTTATTGCAATTTATTGCTATTGCAAATTCTATTATCAAAAGAGTGAAAAGTGATTATTTTATTATCAACCTAGAAATCATAGAGAATATTAAATATTTCTTTGTTTGTACTTTTTTGAAATCCTAAAAAAGAGATCATTAACCTCTATCATTCTAAGACCACTCATGGCCAGAGACGATATTTAAAGAACCAAGGTTTTTTTTTTTTTACTTTTATGTGAACAAAAAATGAAGAATGGCCATATTAAAATATGTAATTAATTTAAAGGGATAGTTCACCCAAAAACAGATGTACAATGAAAGAAATATTTAATATTCTCTGATTTCTTGGTTGATAATAAAATAAGCAAAATAGAATTTGAACCCCACTGACTTCCATGGTATTTTGCCTAGTATGGTTATCAACATTCTTCAAAATAACTTCTTTTGTGTTCAGCAAAAGAAAGAAACTCATACAGGTGTGGAAAAACTTGAGGGTGCATAAATGATGACAACATTTTTATTAATTAAATTCTAGATGTTTCAACAACTGAATGTTTTCAGGATTAAAATTTTTTATTGCCAGTAAATATACGTGACTTCTCTAGTCATTGTTTACTAGACTTTTCCAGGTTCAAAAATCACTTTTAAATTCAGGTTTTCAAGAGAATCAGATTAATAATAAATTAGCAATTTCAAATAAGAAATGTCAGCTAGCATCTTGATTTGTATGTAGTTTTAAATCTTGTTTTGTATTGCTTTAAATCGATTTTAATCCATCTTATTCAGTCTCAGCTCCCTTTTTGAGAAGAGAACTACTATTAGAAGTCATAAAACTTGATGTTAAATCCCACATTTTCACTATGGACTCTTGGACATTTGTACCCCACTTTATTTTTATTTTTTTTAAATGAATATACAATGTGACATTGCATAGTAATGCTTTAGTTTTTAGAAAATGAAACTGACAGTGTTTGAAGCAGTGAAATAGTAGAAGAACAGACAGACATCTAGACCTCTGTGAAACAGAATCTCATATTTTAGTTTGACGGATAGTGTTACCATGTTGTTTTTTTATCTCTCCTTTGAATAGCCAGAACAATGGCGCGAGATTGTGAACAAGAAGTTCCGCTTCCCTCCAGAGCTCCTCGGCGCCATCCGAGAGAGGAACATAAACTTGGTGTCTTCGCTGCTGAAGACGGGTGACGGCATCATCCGTCAGCTGGACGACTCCGAGGACAGGCTATGGAGAGAAGCGCTGAACTTGTCCATCCGACTTGGCAATGAGGACACCATGGACACCCTTCTCCAAGGGATCAAGTTTGATTTCCGGCAGATTCACGAAGCTCTTCTGGTGGCCGTGGACACCAACCAACCTCGTGTGGTCAAGCGCCTCCTGGACCGGCTGGATCTAGAGAAGGGAAACAAGATGGATGTGCGCTCTTTCGCTATGGCAATTTTTGACCACTCCATTGACGATTCCCAGTTTGCCCCTGGGGTGACACCATTGACTCTGGCCTGTCAGAAGGATCTGTATGAAATTGTAACAATGCTGAATCAGAAAGGTCACGAAATTCCTTGGCCTCATAAAATCTCATGCGCATGTCTGGATTGCGGGAATGGACGGCAATACGATTTGCTCAAGTTCTCGTTGTCCCGTATCAACACCTACCGAGGTATTGCCAGCCGTGCTTACCTGTCCATCACCGCAGAAGATGCCATGCTCAGTGCCTTTCGACTCAGCCGGGATCTCCGCAAGCTGTCTAAGAAGGAACCTGAGTTTAAGGTAGGAAAAAGCAGGGCTCGTGTTTTTCTAGGTCTAGGAGGTTTCTAGATATTTTAGATATAGATGTTTCTAGATATATTCTAGAGGCCACGAGTTACTATCTTGAGGCCACGAGTTAGTATCTTGAGGCCACGAGATAGTATCTTGAGGCCACGAGTTAGTATCTTGAGGCCACGAGTTAGTATCTTGAGGCCACGAGTTAGTATCTTGAGGCCACGAGTTAGTATCTTGAGGCCACGAGTTAGTATCTTGAGGCCACGAGTTAGTATCTTGAGGCCACGAGTTCGTATCTTGAGGCCACGAGTTACTATCTTGAGGCCACGAGTTACTATCTTGAGGCCACGGGTTACTATCTTGTGGCCACGGGTTACTATCTTGTGGCCACGGGTTACTATCTTGAGGCCACGAGATACTATCTTGAGGCCACGAGTTACTATCTTGAGGCCACGAGATAGTATCTTGAGGCCACGAGTTAGTATCTTGAGGCCACGAGTTAGTATCTTGAGGCCACGAGTTAGTATCTTGAGGCCACGAGTTACTATCTTGAGGCCACGAGATAGTATCTTGAGGCCACGGGTTAGTATCTTGAGGCCACGGGTTAGTATCTTGAGGCCACGGGTTAGTATCTTGAGGCCACGGGTTAGTATCTTGAGGCCACGGGTTAGTATCTTGAGGCCACGGGTTAGTATCTTGAGGCCACGGGTTACTATCTTGAGGTCACGGGTTACTATCTTGAGGCCACGGGTTACTATCTTGAGGCCACGGGTTACTATCTTGAGTAGACTATCCAGTGTTATTTTACATTGGATTACTTTATTCAGTTTCTGTAGTATATCTGACATACCCAAAAAACTACCCCAAAATGTCTCTTAATTTGTGTCTTTATTCTATTGTATTTATTTGTGCTACTTTTTTCAATTTAATTCAAAGATTGAAATCAAGCATCCATACATAAACTCTTAACAAAAAAATACATTAACATTTAGGTAAGATCAATGTAAAAAATGTCTAAATATTTATATATTTATCTATCTTAAACATAAAATAACATGATACTGTTTGATCAAGCTGTGCGACTGTTCTGTGCGACTGTGCGACTCTTTTTTGCATATTGCATCAAAATCTTTGTATGCATTTAGTGTACCTAAAATAAAAAGTGTTTTTTATAAATAGGGTTATCTGCTCTTAATTTTCTAAATTAAACTTATATCCACTGTTCTTTTATATAAATTATAAATATAGGATTTTTATTACATCTTCATTATAGTTGAATCGAGAATCAAATCAGGAATCGAAAATCGAATCGAGAATCGAAATCGAATCGAACTGAGAGCTTGCGAATCGAAATCGAATCGAAATTGAAATGTGAATCGATACCCAGCCCTAATCTTGAGGCCACGAGATCGTATCTTGAGGCCATGAGATAGTTATAATTAATTTTTTTTGCCAAAGTGGGACTAGGGGGGCTCCGTACCTGCAGACCCTCATGACTTGAAAATAATCATTTTAACAAAATCTTTTTTTAAATTATAATTTTAACATCTACAATTTCAATAAATAATAAATACATTTTTAAAGTTACTACTTTTTAAATTCCTGTTTTCAAAACCATATGAAACCAAAATGAATACAAAGAATCTAATAAATTAGTACCTGTGTCTTGAAAGATTTTCATTTTCTTTATAGTGGTCACTCTTGTGTTTGATACAATGGCATATTTTTCGCAACCACTGTCCCCTTTGCTTCATACAGCCTGAGTATCTTAGCCTCGAGCAGGTGTGCCAGGAATTTGCCGTCGAGCTGCTTGGAATGTGCCGGAACCAAAGCGAGGTCACCACCATCCTGAACAGCTGTGGGAATCAGGGCGAGGACAGCGAGGACGAGCTGGACCAGCAGACCTTTGAGGAGGGCATTCCAAACCTTGCTCGCTTGAGGCTTGCCGTCAACTACAATCAAAAACAAGTAGGACCCACTTTAACACGTCTGAGGAAGAAAAGTCTGCATTGATATTTATCCATGGATTTGGCTAACCATTGGCTTCTCGTTTGCTCTGCAGTTTGTAGCCCACCCCATCTGCCAGCAGGTGCTCTCCTCCATCTGGTGTGGGAACCTTTCAGGTTGGAGGGGCAGCAGAACGGCATGGAAGCTTCTGGTGTCTTTCGGTATCTTCCTGACCATGCCTCTCCTTTGCCTAATCTACTGGATAGCACCAAAGTCAAAGGTTTGCCAAATATTAAAATATTATTTTTGCTGTTTGTTGACTTTACATAACTAAAATGAGCATTTTGTTTCCACTAAATGTATTTGTGCCAAATCTACTTATACAGTACATGTAAAATTAAAGTTTACTGAATTTTTTGAGTTGGGACTACCTACATTTTTGTGTAGCATTAAACTGGGATTTTTTGCTTCCAGCATGTTTTGAATATGGATGGATAATATATTTTGAAAATACAAGTGCGTCCCAATTCACGCACGTATGCAGTATTCTATGCTGTTTGTAGTATAAATAGCACGTGTAGTGTGTTCAGCCAGAAACTTCAGAAAAGGAAAAGTGCACTTTAAATATCCTGATGATGCACATAATTAACAATTCATTGCCAATGTTGAATGACCTTACATAATTCGTACACTACAAGGTTGAGTTCACGAGTTTTTTTTATGTGTTTTTGAGTACAGTACCTGTTAGTGTTTAATGTCCAATGATGTTTAAAAGAGTTTCTGTTATGTTGGTTTTTGGGGTTAGCTTTATACTGAAGTGGCTAGGTTGTCAGTGGCTACAGGAAATTAATATCATATGTTGATCCATACAATGAGTAATAGCTGTAGTTCTTGTTTTTTGCAAATGTTTGTTAAATGTAAAATAACAACCAAAAGTTAATAGTAACTAGTTGTGTTATGTATTGACAAATGTTAGGTAGACTTAGCCTAATTTCTTTTAGTGTGAAAGCTGTTACTCAACTCAACACATGGGATGAAATCTATACAAACAAACTGAGTTCAAATTGTTTTCTCAGTTTTGTTGAGTAGATGCAAAAGTTTTTTTTATAGTGAAGAGACTATCCATCCATTCTCCAAAAGGCTTGTCCTACAGGGTCAGATGGCCAGTCCATTACAGGACTGTTCTAACAGGCTTTTTCGACTAAAATGTAAACCATGTTGTGGTCTTATGTTTGTCTTCTCAGATGGGGAAGATAATAAAGATCCCAGTGATTAAATTCCTCCTCCATTCGGCTTCATATATGTGGTTCCTGATCACGCTTCTGGGGGAATCCATTGCCATGGAGGTGTATCGGGACAGCTTTGCCTCTCGTCAGCACACCATCCTGCACAGCTCTTTCCACATGGTCTGGGTGGTTGGTAGGTCCCAGGAACCACACTTCTCGAAAAACGCTTATTAGGAAAATTGATTAGAATACATTTCTGCAAGATCTTCAACTTAATTTTTGAGATTTTTCTAAGATATCCATGTCTTTCTTTCTTCAGTCGAAAAGAAATTAAGGTTTTTGATGAAAACATTCCAGGATTTTTCTCCATAATGGACTTCACTGGGACTATCCTGTTCGAACTCATTCATTTATCAAAATGAACAAATCTTTTTTCGAGTCATTTCGTTCATTTTGTTCATTGAATGAACCAAATGACTCGGAAAAAAAAGATTTGTTCATTTTGATGAACGAGTTCGAACAGGAGAGTCGAGCAAGGCAAGCATGTCCGTGCTCATAAAACTTAAACTTTTGTATTTATTTTTAAAAAAGCAGATCGTTTAGCTAGGTAAGACTTTTTTAAGGTTTTTTTTTTTTTAAATGAACTACTTCTTTAAGCCAAGCTTAGTTCAGGTATATTAAATATACTGTATATTTGAAAACCATTTTGATTAAGATAAAAATATAGTTCTGCATTACACATGAATCATTATAAAACAACTATTTAGTAATCATTAATCATTTAAAACAGGTTTTTTCTGGTTCGAGTGTAAGGAGGTTTGGATCGAGGGCTTGAAGTCTTACTTCCTGGACTGGTGGAACTGTCTGGACGTGATGGTTCTTAGCATGTACCTGGCTTCATTCGCCCTGAGAGTAGTCATCATGCTCAAGGTCCACTTCCTCTGCCAGTTACCCGACAACCAGGATGAGTGTGTCTACTTCAACAACACTCGTGAGAGACAATACTTCATATGGAATCCCAATTTAGCCTGCAAAATGGCATCTGACTGGCTTTAATGTGTTTGTGGCTTTACAGTGCGCGATGAGTGGCATCAGGAGGATCCCCAGTTCATCGCTGAGGTGCTGTTTGCAGTGACCAGCATGCTGAGTTTCACTCGCTTGGCCTACATCCTGCCAGCACACGAGTCTCTAGGTACCCTGCAGATCTCCATTGGAAAGATGATTGACGACATGATGAGGTATTCAGCTGTGTTGATTATAAAAATTAATAGTGTCTTGAGAAGCACATTCTGGTGCCCTTTGTTCAAGATGCTTCTTTTTCTCTCCAGATTTATGTTCATTTTGGTGATCATTGGAACCGCCTTCCTGTGTGGCATCAACAATGTCTATGTCCCATTTCTGATGTCCCCTAATCTTGGAAGGTATTTCCCAGCTAACAAAAATGTTGCTAATATTCCTAGGAAGGTAGCCCTCAAACTTGAACTTTGAGATTAGCTTCAAAAATGGAATAATGCCATATACATTTACATTCACAGATTAAATGAAACCTTCAGCTTCCTCTTCTGGACAATGTTTGGTATGGCCGACCAGACCTATGTGGACATGCCCGAGTTTGTTTTGGCTGAGTTTGTGGGCAGAATCCTTTATGGCATCTACACCCTGATCATCGTCATTGTACTTCTAAACATGCTGATTGCCATGATCACCAACTCTTTTCAGAAAATTGAGGTAAACTGGAGGAACTGACCCTGGTGTAACGTGTGCATTAAAAATGCAGGCTTGGTGTTTGACTCAAACTGTTCATCCCCGTAGGATGATGCTGATGTAGAGTGGAAATTTGCCCGTTCAAAGCTCTACCTGAGTTACTTCAGAGAAGGCCTGACTATGCCTGTCCCCTTCAACATAATCCCCTCTCCAAAGGCTGCTTTCTATCTTTTAAGGTTATTTGAATGAGTCCATTATTAAGGAGTTGGAGTTCCACTTAAAAATAAAATAAAAGAATCACCACAAGGACAAAACATTTTTTATTTACAAACTTAAATATAAAAATTAAATCTAAAAAGATTTAATGTATTATTTTTTTAGTTAAATAAAAGAAAAACATTATACACGCATTAAATAAACTTTTCTCTATTTATTCATCATTTTAAAAAGTGATTTATTAATGTACTATTTATTATTATTATATTTAACTACATTTAAAATATTAAACAATTAAATAAACAACTATTTGTTAATTTGAAAAGGGGTTTATTAATGTATCATTTATTATGATAAATAACTCAATTTAAAATATATTAAACAGCTATTTACAGTATGTCAAATTTGAAAAAAAGTGATTAATTTAACTTTTAAACCATTCATTAAATAAATGGCTTTTTAAATGCCACTATTTATTAGTCAAGTGATAGATTTATTTGCGTTTTTTAAATGATAAATTAATAAACTGATAACATAAGTATGCATTTAAAACAAATCCATATTTTATTCCGTTATTTTATTTTCAAGTGGCACTTTTTAAGTGTTTATATTAAACAAATCGTAAAAGGGAAAATATTCATTTTAATCCCCTTTATATTTAAGAGGAATTTTCAAACGGATCTGCTGCTGCTGCTTCAACTGTAACTCTACTCCAGACTACCCTCCAATCACGTCTATGGTACACTTTTCTTTCAAAATTATAAAATACATTTCTGTGCATCATGTTGTATAAAACCCATTCTTCCATTTGCTTTGTGTGAAATGCAACACTGAAGGATGACAAGGGCTCAGGGGAGAACCGGGTTTCCTACAGACAGCAGGTCATTCGTGCTCTGGTTCAGCGTTACATCGAATCTGCCAGGAGAGAGTTTGAAGAAGCCAAACGCAAAGGTAAGACTGATCAGGTGTTTCTGAATATGTTCATCATGTTTTCTTATAGACCCCATCCATTGGATCGGATTAGTTTAGTCTGTTAGTCGTGAGGTCATCTCTATGCTAGTGTATTTGTAAAAGTGGTCAAAATAAACTTTTAGCACACATTTTTAAAGTATCAACTTCTCCATATAATATTGATAATTCATATTATATAATATCATAGTATATGGAGAAGTTATTATATGGAGGGCCATGCGTTTTTTTTTTTTTTTTTTTTATCCAATCAATTGCTCTCTAGAATTAGCATGCCCCTCCCCCCAGTACCAACTACACTACTCAGGGGCTGTTTACCCGACAACCATTTTCAACTAAAAACGGAAAACATTTTATGCGTTTTGGCAGTTCATTTACACGACGACAGCATTTTGGAGGTCTGAGAATGCAAACTTTCGAAAATGTGTTTCAAAGTGCAAGTTTTTGTGTAAACGTCTCTGTGTAAACTACAAAAACGTGAATTTGTTAAAATTTTGATGTCATGTACGTTACGTCTTCAGCTATAGGCGTGAAGTGTTCCATTACAAATTGAAATCGCCCTCTACTGGCCTGGCATGAATAATACAGCATTTATATAGATGTTTTCCCGGATCCATGCGAACGGGGATTGCTTTGACAATAGTACTCATCAGTACAAAAAAAAAATCCACAGGAAAACTTTCACATTTCTGTTTTTAGTACATATTTGTCGTGTAAACGTACCCTCAGAGTTATGTGTTTCTATGGTAACACGGAGCAGGATTGAGTAATCAATTGACAAACCACAGTAAGACTAAAAATTTATTTAATTTATTTAGTGTATTTAGCAGGACTTTATCCATTAGTTATTATAGTTTTGGGGCTGTCAAACGATTAATCGTGATTAATCGCCTCCAAAATAAAAGTTTGTGTTTACATAATATGTGTGGGTGCACAGTGTATAATTATTTTGTATACACACACATGCATGTATATTTAAGTAAAAAAAAATATTTATATGTAAAATATTTATATTTATATATACTATAAATTATATATAAATATATACACAGTATATACAAGAAAATATTTCTTAAACGTATACAAGCATGTGTGTGTGTATATATATATAAAATAATTATACACAGTGCATCGCGATTAATCGCATCCAAAATAAAAGTTTATGGTTACATAATATATCCCACATTTATTATGTAACCACAAACTTTTATTTTGGATGAGATTAATCGCGATTAATCGTTTGACAGCCCTAGTTATTATACATGCTAGCTTCGTTAAACTGCATTCATTGCATGTCTTTTGTTTATTTATATATTCATTTTGCATTACAAAGACATTAACCACAGTCAATAATAGTTATTAAACAGAAATATTTGGAAATAATTAATGAACTACATTTTACAGCTGAATACTATTTTGAGTATTTACGCATTGTATTGCAGCCGTCAGGTGGTACAGATCTCTAAAGATTCATTTTACAAGAAATTATAATGAGCTGTCCAAGGATGTGAAAAAACTGTTCAAAGTTTTTAATGGGGTCTTTATATATAGAACAACAAATTGTTTAGAGGGTTAAAGTAAGAAATATCTTGAACCCCCTTGAAATCTCTTGAATGTCTTTCTTGTAGATGTTGGGAACAGGATCACAGAGCTGAGTAAAGTGATCAGCCAGCTACACTCAGAAATGAAACAGATTCACACGAACATATCTGAATACTCGGACAACGACAAACCAGACCCATCAGGAGTCTCTTCTTTCCTGGGGAAGTACATCATCGGAGCCAAAAACAACTTCAAGGACTTCGACAACGAGAGAAGGAGCGCTCCGCGGCATGAGGTTGCACACCACGAAGAACCAGCGCAGACTGTAAAAGAGAAGCATGAAGAGGGGTCACCGACCACCAACATAGAGGCAGACGGGACGTCAAATGAAGTTCAAAGCAGTGAGGGAGATATTGGGGAGGGAGGAAATGAGACAGGAATTGATGACGCCATCGAGATTAGCATGAAGGAGGAGGGTGCTGAGAAGAGTACAAGCGAGACAGTCATAGATATAGAGTCCCATTCAGACATTGAGAGTGAAGCCAGTGGAAAAAGAGAAGATGAGACGATGACAGAGAACACCAAAGATAATATAGAGGAACTGAATACTGATGAGGCAACAGGAGGATCAGATCTAAATGAAGCCGAGACAGAGGAAAACAATGGAACGACAGAAGATATTAATGAGGATGTAGTTGAAGTGGTAAGTGAGGAAAGTACTAGTCAGGGCATTAAGTTTGACCTGAGCCAGACAAGCCTAGTGTGTCTTTTAGCAAAGAGGATTGAGGAAAAGTTAGCGAGGAAAACCCCGCTAGTGACGAATTTCACTTTCAGTGGAAAGCAAGCGTCATCTCCAACTGGTAGCGATGGCTCTCAAGACACTGGTTTTGGTTCTCAAGTATTTGAGTCCTCAACTAGTAGCCCTTAATAACGGCAATTTTCTAAGATTAGTTCAAAACAACTACCATAAACCTAGTTGACACCATTGTTTTAGGTTTATAATAAATAATAAAATGCTTTATGTTTGTGGCATCAAAAAGTATTTGGACACATTTGTCACTGAAAATGTCTTAATGTTAGGGTTACAAGTCCCTAAAAGTCTTAGCTGAAAACAAATTATGCTAGTGCGTTTATCTTTTCTCAAAAGAAACTTTTCGTGGATGTTGAAGTCCGTTCACACAGGTGTAGTTCATTACATTATCCATGATGAACATATTCATTTTATTTCAGCCAGTAAGTACTTTTAATTTAGAACAAAATAACAATTGTTTCTATCATTTTAAAGTTAGTTTCCCTTGTTCTGCAGTACTGTTCAAAAGTTTCAAGTCTGTATGATTTTTTTAAAGAAATGTACACATTTCTCAGCAATGATGAGTTAAATTGATCAAAAGTGACCGTAAAAACAATTGCCACATTACACAAAGCTAATTTTACATAAATATATTACAAAAAAATGCTATTCTTTTAACTTAACAAAATAACAATTGTTTCTATCATTTTAAAGTTAGTTTCCCTTGTTCTCCAGTACTGTTCAAAAGTTTCAAGTCTGTATGATTTTTTTAGAGAAATGTACACATTTCTCAGCAATGATGAGTTAAATTGATCAAAAGTGACCGTAAAAACAATTGCCACATTACACAAAGCTAATTTTACATAAATATATTACAAAAAAATGCTATTCTTTTAACTTTCTGTATAAAAAGTATGTAATTTTCCACAAAAAATATTAAGCAGCACGACTGATTACAGAAGGATCATGTGACACTGAAGACTGGAGTAAATCACATTTTAAAATAGAAAACCATTCTTTTAAATGCTATTTTCACTGTTTTTAATGTATTTATAAAATTAAATGCAATCTTGTGTGAGCGTTAGACTTCTTTCAAAACCTTTAACTCACAATGACCACAAAACTTTTAAACGGTAGTGTTTTTTAAGTGACAAATACTTTTTTGGGCCACTGTGTGTAAATAGATATATACATATATAAAAAGTAAAAGAGGCATTCTGGTTGCTCGGTATTTGAAATTCTGAAATGATTTGTAAAATTATGTTTTATCATTAAAATAAACAATAAATGTGCAGTGTTCTGTCCCATGAAGTAAAATAATTGCTTTAATATAAATTCATGTAAACGAATCTCCGAATACGTACATGCAATCATGGTTAGAGGTGCACGAGAACATTTCTAACCCCAGAGACCTCATGCACATGTTGCAGCTTGTTCAACACCTTCTGTTTGTGACACAGCTGCTTCATCCCATGAGGCCATTCATTACCCAATCACCTGTACCCTCAGACCCTCCCCATGCTCCTCTACAGGAACGTCACACCTGTTCCCATAACCATCCGAATATATGAACAGTAACTTCACTAAGGGTAATGCTGGTGGAATTACGTCAGCCAACTAAATCAACAAGTGTTCAAATGTATGTAAACGCAAATCAAATTGTTCATTTTATTTTATCAAAGCTAAACAAAACAATCATACATTACACTATAAATTACATTGAGCAAGTGATGACATTTTATTGTCCCTCAACCGCAAAAATATCTTATAAATCTGAACAAAGTTTGATCTTACCAAAATTTTTTATTGTACAAAGATGTAAATGTATAATATTATTGATGCACCCATTATAAAAGGTTTAATACTGTACACAGAGTTCAGTTTATGAACCGCACATCAGACACTCGTCTCGGTTCTCCAGCGAGCACACCATAGCGGCCATGTTGCGTTCTTTGGCTTCCTCCTCACTTTTCTGCGTCTCCTTCAGTTTCTCTTTGTTCAGAGTGAACTGGATGGGGTTGGCGGCTGGTTTAGTTCTCAGGTAGTACATTCCTGTTTTAAGTCCCTGTGGAGAGAAGTAGACGTATTTTTTATCTGTCATCTAATTGACCTTATGCACAGCTGCATTACTTCCTAAACTTAAACCAGCTCCTTGTTTCCTGTCTGCCATTATTGGCCAAATTGATTAATCCAGGTGTGCCTGATTATTGTTGCCGTGACTACTAAGGTCAAGCACACCTGAATTAATCAATTTGGCCAATAATGGCTGACAGGAAACAAGGAGCTGGCTTAAGTTCAGGAAGCAGTGCAGCTGGGCATAAAGCCCATTCCTAAACTTCCAAGGCTCATGAAGTATCTAGTTTACCTGCTTCCAGCCGTAGAAGTGCATGCTGGTCAGTTTGCCATAGTTGGGTTCAGCAATGTGAATGTTGAGGGACTGGCTCTGGTCAATGAAGGCTCCTCGATCTGCAGCCATCTTTAAGATGGTCTTTTGAGAGATCTCCCACACCGTCTTATACAGCTCCTTTAGGTCATCTGGTATTGTGGGAATGCCCTGCAAGAGGAAGGACATTTAGAAAGCGACAAAAAATCTAAAAATCTAAATTGTAAATGCCAACTAACCTGGATGGATCCGTTCTGAGCGATTAGCTGGTTTTTCATTTCCTCGTTCCAAAGACCTCTTTCTGTGAGGTCTTTGAGAAGATGTGGGTTCACGATCTAGAGGTAAACGAAACCCACTAGTTAATGATGTTCAAAGAGCTCAGTTTATCTTGCAAACGTTCACTGTAACATCAAGCCCACCTGAAACTCTCCAGACAGAACTCTGCGCGTGTAAATGTTGCTAGTGTAGGGCTCGATTGACTCATTGTTGCCCAGGATCTGAGCTGTGGAAGCAGTGGGCATGGGGGCCAGCAGCAGACTGTTACGCACACCATGCCTGAGGAGAAAAAGAAGAATAAATGTCTGCATATATTTTTATATATTAGGGCTGTCAGTTAAACACGTTATTAACAGCGTTAACGCAAACACATTTTAACGGCATTCATTTTTTGCGATTAACAGTCTTTTTGGCCTAGCAAAATTTGTAGGGTTTTTCACATGGTTTTGCAACAGGACACGGCATGCGTGGCACTGCACTATGAAACCCATTGATTTCAAATCATTTAAAGCCCTTTGAATAGTTTGCACTGAAACCATCTTTTGGGCCTTGAACCATTTAGTTACCAGTATAAGTGCATTATATGGAGAAAATCCTGGAATGTTTTCATCAAAAACTTTAATTTCTTTTCGACTGAAGAAAGAAAGACATGGACATCTTGGATGACATGGGGGTGAGTAAATTATCAGCAAAAGTTTTTTGAAAAGTGAACTACTCCTTTAAGTATTTATTAATTATGAATGAGTGTTTTCTGTGTCAGCTGATCTCCACAGTATAGTGACATTATCTAATTAAACATGCATTCATTTCCAGAACAAAAACCTGAACACTGTATAAAGCTAGGCTCAAAATGGTTTCATTTGGATAGATAGATAGGAATTATATGGTTTTAAATAACATTTATGAATGAGCAGTTACTAACTTTGCGATCTTCTCCTTGAGTGCCGCCCAGTCCCACAGGTCTGTAGGTGTCTTTTCCCACATATCATACTGCAGAATCTGTGAAATCACACCAGGAACAATTAGAGCTCTGTAAATCTCAACAAATATCAGATTTCCTTAAACTATAACATCTAACTTACGCCCTTGCTCACAGGACACCCGGGGTAGGTTTCATACGGTCCAAATTTTGCAGCCAGCTCACAGCTGGACTCCAAGGCAGCGTAGTAGATGGTCTCAAAGATCTGTGTGTTGAGAAGTTGAGCCTCTGCGCTCTCGAAGGGGAAGCGCATGAGAATGAAGGCATCGGCCAGACCCTGAACACCAATGCCGATGGGCCTGTGACGCTTGTTGGAGTTCTCTGCCTGTCAATTGAAAGAGATGTTCAACCTCTGTAGCGACTACAATAGTGCAGGATGGTTATAACAGAATAAACAGCACTTTACCTCAATCACTGGGTAATAATTGATATCGATGATTTTGTTCAGGTTCCTCACAATGACCTTTGTAACAGAGGCCAACTTCTGGAAGTCAAACGTTCGCTCTGAGGTGACGTACATATTAAGCGCAATTGACGCCAGGTTGCAAACAGCCACCTACAAGAGAGTGTTGTTCATCATGAATGTGCTTTCCAATAGAGTAGTTGTCATGTGACTAACGGCGATATTATTATACTGGTAACACTTTACAATGAGGTTCATTAGATAATGTATTAACTAACGAGGAGTAATACATTTGTTACTGTATTAATTAATATTTTTTAATGTCAGTTAATAACTGTTAGGTCACATTGCATTAATGTTAACAAATGCAACCTTGGATTTTAATAATGTATTAGTAAATGTTGAAATGAACAACTAGGATTAATAAATTCTGAATTTATTCTTAGTTGATGTTAACTAATGTACCTTATTGTAAAGTGTTACCATCATACTTTGTGTAGGTATTCTGCACTCTCCCTACCTCATCCTTACTGGTGTACTCTACTATCTCTGTGCACAAGTTACTGGATTTGATGGTGCCCAGGTTCTGCTGGTTGCTCTTGCGGTTGCAAGCATCCTTGTAAAGCATGTAGGGTGTGCCGGTCTCTGTCTGAGACTCAATGATGGCATGCCACAGCTGCTGAGCTTTCACCACACGCTTAGCTTTGCCCTCCTGTTCATAACTAAAACAAAAGATCACTGAATGATTAATAAAAAAAATGACTTTCATAGTTTTACAGTAGTAGAATTAATATTTGCACACCTTGTGTAGAGCTTCTCAAATTCCTCTCCCCAGCACTCATCCAGGCCGGGACAGTCACTGGGGCACATCAGAGACCAGTCCTGCACGGGATAGGAGGAACCATGTGAGTTTTTGTTCTTAAAATGAAGCATTTGAACTAAACTGGATGTGTTAACTTTATGCATACAAAACCAATATATAAACAAACCATTCAAAAGTTTGGGATCTGTAAGATTTCGTAATGTTTTTGAAAGACCCATTGCTGCTATTATTAATTAAATACAGTAATATTGTGAAGTTTTACAGCATTACAAAACTTTTCTATTTTTATAGATTTTCAACTAATTTATTCCTGTGATGGTAAAGCTATTTATTAGCATCATTAAGGTCTTAATAAATTCTCATAAATTCTGATATGCTGATTTGCTGCACAATATCAATGTTGAAAAGTTCTGCTTAATATTTGTGGAAATAATTTCCCAGGATTCTTTGATGAATAGAGGGTTTAAAAATGTTTTATCTTTTGATCTTCCATCTTGGCTGAATAAAAGTATATATAATATTTTATATATATCAAATAAGTTTAAAAGTGGGCTCACCCCATTGGTTTCCACTCTCTTCATGAACAGATCAGGGATCCAGAGGGCGTAAAACAGATCTCTAGCTCTCTGTTCCTCTTTTCCAGTATTCTTTTTGAGCTCTAGGAAGTCAAAAATGTCAAAATGCCAGGGCTCCAGGTACATGGCAAAAGCTCCTGGTCTCTGAGCGAGGAGGACAGAAAATGTCAGTAATTCAAGCCAAACTTAACCCCCCCTTAAACATCACATGTAAAATGCCTTACCTTATTTCCCCCTTGGTCCACATAGCGTGCTGTGTTGTTGTAGACACGAAGCATAGGAACCAGGCCATTTGAGTTTCCATTTGTCTAAATGACAAAAGATATTATGTAAACCCAACTGCTGAATTTAAAAGTACCATAGGAATGAATCTAAAGCAGAGGATGAAGAAAACTCACCCCTGCGATGTAGCTGCCAGTGGCTCTAATGCAGCTCACTGCCACCCCGATTCCTCCGGCAGACTTCGAGATGAGGGCACACTGCTTCAGTGTGTCATAGATCCCATCGATACTGTCATCTTTCATAGCAAGCAGGAAGCAACTAGACATTG